ACGGCTCCCTCCGAGAAGCCCCACGCCAGCACCCCTAGAGCCCGCTACAGAACCAGCTCCAGCCCGCTCCCCAGCACCCCCAAAACGCACGAACCCCAGCGGCGGTGACGATGGCGGATGCGGCTGCGGCGGCAGCGGCGGAGGCGGCTGCGGCGGGGACAGCAGCGGCGGCGACAGGGGAGGTGAGACCGGGGCAGGGACAGGCGGGGGAAGAGACTCCGCCGAGCCGCGAGAGTCAGCGGACTCCTCAGCAGGGACAACCGGCGGGAGGGGGGTGACGTGAGAAACACCAGACGGGGCAGGGCGGGGAGGGGGGTGGACACGGTCGACCGGGGGAGGGGGGGCACTAGGAAATGGGGCGGAGTGACCGAGGGACCACGGTGGGGAAAGCGGTGGTAGAAGGAGGCGGGATCGTCAAAAGTGACGTCACGAGAGTGAAAGAATTGGTGAGAAGGCGGGTGGTAGAACTGCCAGTCCGACGAGTCGAGGGGGAAACCTAGGAAAACACAGGGGACAGTGCAGGCAGTGAGCTTGTCCGTGCCAGAGGCACGAACGTGAGCAAGGCAGCCCCCAGACGTGGAACGCAGACGTGTCACCAGGGGACCCAGTCTAGAGGAGGGTCAGCAAAACCTGCGACCGCTGAGGGTGCGGCGAGAGGTTAAGCTGGTGAGCGGCATAGCGAACGGTGAACGGCCACAGAAAATGGGGTGCACTGGCATGGATCATGGGTGATGTCCTCCGCACGACAGAAGCGACCAAGGCAGCCAGAGGCAAACTCGCCACCACGGTCGGAGTGAAGACGCAAGACAGGGAGACCTCGGTGAACACGCGCAGAGACAAGCTACGGGAGAAGGACATCAGACACATCAGTCTTCCGCTCCAGGGGAAAAACGGTGGTGTAGCGGGTGTAGTCGTCGACAAGCACTAGGAAGTAGCGCTCGCGACGCGGCCCATGGACGGGGGCGGGGCCCCAGATGTCCATGTGCAGGGTCTGCAGTTGTGCGGAGGTAGGGGGCAACGAGGAGGAGTGAGGGGCACGGCGGAGCTGGCCCTCGACACAGGGCGTGCATGGAGGCGCAGGTGAGGAGGGGAGCGCAAGGAACGACTCAAGGAGGCCTAGGACAAGATGGTGCTGGGACATGTGACGGAGACGGGTGAGGGCGGGGTGACCTAGACGGTGGTGCCACAGAAGTGACGGGTGAGTAAGCGACTGACACGAGCACGCCACAGCAACTTGGGAAGACGCTGGCACCTGGGGAGGCATCTCAACCGGGGGGGAAGCGGTGTCCAGCGTGAACAGGCCAGACACCAAGTCCGGGGGGAACGTGGTGAGGGGGGCACCAGTGGCGGCCTCAGTACAGACAGCGTACCGCTCGTGCCCAGGGAACGTAGTGGTGACGCCAAGGTCCTGGAGGCAGCCGACACCAACTAGGTTCCTGGAGAACGAGGGGATGTGCAGGCCTGTAAGGGAGCCTAAGGGAACCACCGGATAGGGGAGAGTAGTGGAGCTACGTGCAACTATAGGACCGGAGGAAGGGTCTGCAAGAGCAACTGCAGCAGGAGCGGCAAGCGGCGTAAGCGTCATGGAGTCACGAAAGAAACATCGGGAAGCGCCGAAGTCCACGGTGAAGGAGTGCTCGGTAGCGGCGAAAGAGGTCGGAGGAGCGAGGGAGGACCCTAGGCTAAATAAGGCAGGGAATCCTATGCTTGATGCAGCAGGGGAGCCTGAATTAGGCACACTGGGCATACCTACGCTAGGCAACACAGGGTAATAGGAACCAGTCACACTAGAGTCATCAACATACAGCGCATACAAAACAGAGCTAATCTCATCCATGTCCATATCAAAGATCTGAACACGACGACGGAGCAGACTGTGCCAGTCGGGGAGGTCAGGCGACAGGCTGAAGCAGAGACGAAACAGGTCATCTAGGCGACAAAAGCAACGAGCGGGGGTATGGCCGATCTTAACACACACGAGGCCGCGGCGAGGACCGGCCAGGGTGGAGACTAAGGAAGTGATCGCGAGCGGTGGCAAGGCGGTCAGGGAGGCGGGTGGCAAGCAGGTAGAGGGTAGATCAGATGGGGGGCTGAAAAACACGAAGCTGAGCCTCAGTGCAGGCAACGCTCCAGGTCGTGTCTAGCGTGCGCAGGTGGGCGGCTAGGTCAGCGACAGTGGGGAAAGACGCAAGGTCAGGAAAGAGCATAGGCAGGATCAGGCGACCTACAGAGGCAGAGGGCGGGGTGGAATAGCGCGCAACAACAGCCTTTAGGAACTCCTGCGCAGTCCTGACGGACCTAAAGCGGGGGCGCTCGGACAGGGGAAGGGCATGACTAATCGCAAGCTGTGCGACAGCGTTACGTGACAACCAGACAGCACGGGCAAGGGCAGCAGCTGCAGCGGACTCACGGTCAGCAGAGGTAGGGTCAGCGAGGAGGGCAGCAGGGGGGTCTGGGCAGGGGAGCGTACCGTCGATGTGGACGGCTAGGGAGTGGCCGTCCTGCCGTTGATCAGTCAGGTGTCGCTGGAGGTTGATGAGCCACGAGTCAAACTCAATCGGCTGCCCCTCAGCATCAAAGCGCAGGACCGAGTCCGCCATCATGGTTGCAGCAGGAGGAGAAAGACAGTACTGGGCAGGAGAGCGCGGCGGAAAGCGGTGATGTGCGGTGCAGTACGGTACTGTGCGGTGGAAGGAGGTGCAGTATGGTAGGGTGCAGTGCAGTGCGGTGCAGGGCGGTGCAGTATGGTGCAGAGCGGTGCAACGCGGTGCCGTGCGGTGCAGAGCGGCCGAGGACGGCGGCGAGGCGTCTAGAAGACGGGGCCGCGGGCGGCAACGCGACGGGGCCGGCAAAGAGGAGGGGCCGGCAGGGAGACGGGGCTGGCTGGGGGGGGGTCGCGAGGTGACAGGGCCGTGAGGTGACTGGGCTGCGGGGCCGCTAGGGGACGGGGCCGCGGTGTTGCTAGGGGATAGGGCCGCGGGGCCGCTAGGTGACGGGGCCGCGCGGCCGCTAGGGGACGGGGCCGCGGGGCCGCTAGGTGACGGGGCCGCGGGGCCGCTAGGGGACGGGGCCGCGGGACCTAGGGTAGAAGCGCTAAGGGGGGGGGGCGACAACCTACTCATGATACCATGTTCAAGTGAAAGTATGTCTAGAACAAGGCATACAGGGAATATAACCTAATGGGTTGTACTCCCTAAGGCACAACCCTATATATTCTACAGAAACATACAATATATGTTTGACACTGCTTACGTATTACCCGACTTTTGCGAAGTTCCTAAAAGGGGTAACAAGAAAATCATTCCTAGCCTGACTGAGTTATCCGCCACAAATTTTTTTCACCATGAGGGCTATGTTTTCAATATTTGGAAATTTGAAATCTTGAAATTCTCAGGGTGCACAGCATGCGATCAGGGTTGCCTAATAGCAGCCGTAGGCATACCCAAATTGCCAAATCTTCTCCAGCAGTGACGATTTCATTGCTGGGAGAACGGGGAGCAGCAGGCAGGGTCTTCGCTACATCTGGCTGGCGTAAATTCTTTTCTGATTTCTCAGACGATGTGAAACTAACTCTAAAAAATCACACTGTCCACGGCTCAATTGAGGGAGTGTTCCTACGTGACACTATGTCAGGCAACATCGTGTCATTGGAGATTTTGCCAGTAAAATATGCCCGTCAATAACAGTATATAATCCGAAGTAATGTGACATTGTGTCACGTAGAAACAGGCCATGAGGGGGAGGATTCGAAAAGGAGGGGAGGGGGAATCGAATCCGAGGGGGAAAGGGGGAGGGAATCAAAACCGAGGGGAGCTGGGAAGCGAAACAGAGGGGGGGGAGGGGGGGGGGGACAAAATGGAGGGGAAGGTGGGGGGGGTCGAAACGGAGGGGAGGCGGGGAAGCAAAACGGAGGGGAGGGGGGAAGCGAAACGGAGGGGGAGGGCGGGGGGGGGGGGGGGGGGGGGATTCGAAAATGGAGGGGGAGGGGGGAGGATTGAAACGGAGGACAGGCGGGAAGCTGTGAAATTGGGCGGTGGGAGAAACTTCGCGCCCTTGCAGCGCCCTAGTTGATCAATCGTGGACGTTAATCACTTGCGACCATCGAATGGTTGACTCATGACGTCAGCAGTATCTCCAATGCTGTCATATTTGGAGGTATCATATGACGTCGAATGGTTGACTGATGACTCGCTACTGCTGACGTCAATTCCATATGAAGTATCGCACTATTAGTACAGTCTAAGTGTTATATCAGAAATGTATACGTAAACTCTGTCGAGTATACTTCAACATCTAGTTACGACAGCGATATTTCCCGGCTTCGCAATGTTTTCTAAGTCTTCGCTAAACTAACTCGCGTTCATACATACTGTGAATGAACAATTTGGGTTGCGAGCTTTAAATTGCTGGTTGCATATGCGTATGTTCTCATCTCTCCGTTTAAATTGGTGGTAGCATGTCCATATGTTTTCATCTCCCTGTTCAAATTGTTGGTTGCATGTCCCTATGTTCTCATCTCTCTGTTTAAATTACCGTTTGCATGTGTGTATGTTTTGGGGGGTTTGTGCGCACGCCTGAGTGTGTTCCTCCCCCTCTCCCCCCCCCCCCCCCCCCCCCCTCTCTCTCTCTCCTCCCCGTCGTCTGCTCCGCCTTTTGTTCCATGTGAGAGGCATTTCCGTTCCAACTGTACATCCGTTTTACATGGTATAACAAACCCTCAAGTGACTTTTGAGTCAACTCCAAATCATCTCTTGGCATGGTTTAACACACCCTCCATAGGTGACTTTTGAGTCAACTCAAACGCTTCCTCCTCCTTCGCCCGGTCAAGTCCACCCTTCGATGTCCTTTGTTTGTTCACACTATGTTGTTATATTCCAATGTTGTCGTATTGTAATATTTTTTTAAGCTGGCTTTAGCCTTACCTGGGGGCAGGGAGGGGTCTTTCTTTTCGCATGTAGCCATGTTGTGCGTATCAATCATCAAATATCACTCTAGCCTTCTCTCTTGCAATGTTCTCATCCCCTACTCATCCCTTGTCTGTCTATTCGTACCATCTCCAAGACCATCCTCCCCATCTCCAATGCCCACACCTTCTCCACCTCCAATGTCCTTGTCCCCCTCCCCTCCTCCTCCTCCTCCTCCTCCTCCTCCTCCTCCTCCTCCTCCTCCTCCTCCTCCTACTCCTCCTCCTCCTCCTCCTCCTCCTCCTCCTCCTCCTCCTCCTCCTCCTCCTCCTCCTCCTCCTCCTCCTCCTCCTCCCCCTCTTCCTCCCATCTCTACTCCTATACCCTCCCCGGTTACCACTGTTAAAGTCTGAACTAGGAAGAACAGAGGAGGCCGCCATGAAATGGCGGCCAAGGGTTTAGCTAGAAGCTGGACGAGAGTGTCGAGAGAGAAGAGGGGTAGACTAGAAGAGAATGAAGTACAAGAAGGGGGTTGTCCCCCCTACAGTAGGATGCAGTTAGTAGCATAACTACCAAGCCTACAATTATATAAAAATATAATTTGAACACACCCCCTAGGCTTGGTAGTGGCAAACCCACACAACCCACACACACACCCCCTAACCCCGGACGCCCTCATTCTCGTGAGCAGCCGGGTATCGACCCCTCGTGCTAGGCTATGACACCCCCGGTCGAGAGGCAGCTGGCCGCATCTGGGCGGCCTCAATGACGACAGCGGCGGAGCTCGTGCTCAAGGCGGCTGTGTCGATGAGGACAGGCGGCGACTGCGGCGGCTGAGGGCTCTCGACGGTGTGGCACGGGCTGGCGACGACCGAGCCGAAGACAGCAGCTACGGCAGGAGCAGGAGGAGATGCAGGGGAGGGAGAGGTGGTGGGGCTGCTGTGGTGGGGCTGCAGGACTTCAGCGCGGCGCCATAGGCGCGGCGCTTACTGGAGGGAGGAGCAGGCGGGACGGGGCCCAGGAGGGGCGCGACTGGGCTAGGAGGCACGGCAGGGCCCAGGAGGGGCGCGGCTGGGCTAGGAGGCACGGCAGGGCCCAGGAGGGGCGCGACTGGGCTAGGAGGCACGGCAGGGCCCAGGAGGGGCGCGACGTGGGTAGGAGGCACGGCAGGGCCCAGGAGGGGCGCGACGGGGAGGTGGTACGGCGGAGCCGCCACGTCAGGGCGGCAAGCCCAGCACGGCTGCTCGACGTGGCAGCCATGCGACATGGCCGCCACGGCGGCACGGCAGGAGCGACGAACGCACGAGAACGCAGCGGAAAGCACGGAGGGGAGCAGGCCCAGGAAGGGCATCCCGCTCTGATACCATGTTAAAGTCTGAACTAGGAAGAACAGAGGAGGCCGCCATGAAATGGCGGCCAAGGGTTTAGCTAGAAGCTGGACGAGAGTGTCGAGAGAGAAGAGGGGTAGACTAGAAGTGAATGAAGTACAAGAAGGGGGTTGTCCCCCCTACAGTAGGATGCAGTTAGTAGCATAACTACCAAGCCTACAATTATATAAAAATATAATTTGAACAACCACACCCTCACATAGTTGCATAGTACTTCTACCATGTTCCCCTCTAGCTATACGCACTTCAAAGGGCTGAGACATTTTTTTTCCGGAGTAGTGACATCGCAGGTCAAAGTGCCTGTAGAGTTTTTTTCTTAACCAATCACTGTGAAGTGGATGTTTTGCAAATTTGTTTGTGGAGTTTCTATAGAAGAATGTTAGAGAATACGCGTGTGACTTGAAGTTCACATGTAAACACGACCTGCTTGAATGACGGTGTCGGGTCTATTGTGACTCAAACTAGGATGCCACGCAGCGCCTTGAAGTTGGCGCGAGTGCCAACGGCTGTGTGCGTCAACGGCTTCAAGTTCTGCACCAACTGGAGCAAGAGGTCGCGAGAAGCACAACGGCTTATTCTTGTTTTGTCAGACAGCGTGTATGGGAGTAAAATCTAGAAACGATACGAAATTGTGGCGTATTTTTCGCCAGTAGTTCCTGGATTTCTCATGTTATTGTCAGCTCGTTCGCGAAATGCACCCCTGCACTGTACCCTCAAACTCGCACCCAGAAGTGACAAGCCTCACTGTACCGATGTTCCAAATTTTCCATCACTTACCTTCACTGTACTGTCGTCGCGAAAGGACCCCCGCAAACCAATCATGCAGAGCAATGGCGTGCCGTGTGGTTTTGGCTAAGCTGAGCCGCATATTTGTCTGCCTGCCTTGGGGTTCTCGTCAGTCGGGTCCGATTCGGTCAGAAAGACTGCGAGCGAGCGAGCCGAGCGAGGGACGAATGGCAGAGAAGCAAACAAACCCAAGTGGAAGGAAGGAACCCAAGAGAAAGCACAAGTGAAAATAGAGCAATCTCGAGGTTGTAACTTCGTTCCCCTGCCTGGCCCCCCCCCCACTCCCAACACACTCCACCGCCACAAGACTACTAGCCTCGAGAAGTAGCAAGCAACACATCCAACCAGCCTAGAGAAAAGTCCACCCTTCTTCCTCACTCTTGAGAGTTTGCTGTTGCTTTGCTCACTCTCGCTCTCTTACCTCTCTCTATCTCTTTCAGTTTGGCTCGCCTCCCTCGATAACAGGTCGTTTCGGTCACCGTTCCCCGTGCTCGCACTTCTGAAGCAGGACTCGCCCTAGGACTCACCATTCCGTCTCTCGGTCCATTAGCTCCTCTCGTGTAGTTGAGCCTCGTTTGGAGTTAGCGGTAGCGAAAAAAAAAAAAAAAAAAAAAACAAACAAACAAAAAACCAAGTCGCGGAAGTTCACTCGTGTGTTGAGGTTTCTGTTATCGATCCACAGTCTAAGAGCCGGTTGGCTCCTGAAGCGACGCAACGCAGCAGTGCCTGCGTCTTTCGCCTCGTCTCGTTGGAAGTGAGGGAGCGACGACACGATGAACGACTTGCTATGGGTGCGTGACGCTCTTGCTCTTCCTTTTCTCCTCTCTCTCAACCGTTATGCTCTTCCACTCTGACTTTTGAGTCGACTCAAAAGTCACCTCGTTACGCGCTTCCACTCTGTCCCGGAGCTTCTCACGAGGCCAGAGCGGCCGGCGAGATCCTTACCACGGCTGGCGCCGCCAGCAGCAGTGAGACCCTATATGGCTATGCGCAACTAGATGATAATGACTGCTTTCTCGCCAGCATGTCTCTTTTGAGGCGCTGGCGCTGCTATATATATCGCCTCCGTCGGCTATACTTCCAGATATCATTTTTCTGCGACTATGTCATCGCATACGGCTATGCTCCCTTTTTTATATTTCTGCGGCTTTAGTCCCTGTTGCCATCGCCTGCGCGTCCACGTCTCCCTCCTTCGCCGTCCCGATTGTTTCCTTAAAAGCGTTCCTTCTTTCCCCGGGCGCCCTTTTTATTCTTCATCGTCTCTCGCTGTTACCGGACCTCCCATTAGCGGGTCTGCAAAGCGGCACTGCACCGCTTTCCGTTTTTTACAACGGCTCCCAGCGCTTCCTCCCTTTTCCTTACGACGGCGCGAGCTCTTCCCCTCTTTCCTTCTGCTTCCGCTTCCTCACCGTTCGTAATCTCGTCCAACCTTAAATAACCTCCGTGTTTTCACTTCTGGTTTTTTGTTTTTCTGTTGTTGATTTTTTTTTTTAAAAAAATCCAGGGTGCGAGCCCTCCCCGCCGTTCGAGCACGGATGACGTGGACCTGGAGGAGGGCGGCGTGGAGGAAGCGGGGGAAATGGACCAACGCATGCAGGAATTCCACCGCGAGGTATAGCGCGTACAACGACGCTGCTTACAACGCGTATGCTTGACTGGCGTGCCTTATCCGACACTCCCGCGTGTCTCGCTTCTGGGACCTTGTCTGTTAGAGATGCGCGACGTAGCGAAAACTCTTGTTGACCAGGTTTCCCGTACTTATTTCGTCGTCCCTTCGTTTACCCGAGACGCGCTAATGGTTTTTTTTTTCCTTCCCTTCCGGGGCGTCTGGCGTCGGCGTATGGCATCTTGACACGTGGCAGGTGAAGGACATAAACGAGAACATGGACCAGATGAGAGGGAAGCTGACGCGGCTGCAGGAGGCGCACGAGGAGAGCAAACGAGTCACGCGCGCGTCGGCCATGAAAGGTGCGTCAAAGAAAGGAGTCAAGTGAAACGCGCGTGACAGAAGGCGCTCGCATGAGGCTCGTATGAGGCTCGCATGAGGCTCGCATGAGGCTCGCATGAGGCTCGCATGAGGCTCGCATGAGGCTCGCATGAGGCTCGCATGAGGCTCGCATGAGGCTCGCTTGAGGCTCGCACGAGGCTCGCTTGAGGCTCGCATGAGACTCGCTTGAGGCTCGCACGAGGCTCGCTTGAGGCTCGCATGAGACTCGCATGTAGGAGGAGGGCGAACGAGATTTCGCGCACACGCGTGAGCGCGCGCCCGCGAGCATGCGTGCGACGGGCGAGGGAGGCGTGCGACGTGTGTCCCTCGGAGGCTACACGGTTTGTCTTCCTTTTTTAGACGCGCGAGACGACCGCCGTGAAACGTCCCCCCGACACCCCGCCGTGGACGTAGGAGATGCGAGCTGCGACCGTAGGCTGCGCTATATCTGATGCGCGGTGCCTGTGCGGAATGGGGTGCGCGGAATGGGTGCGCGGAATGGGTGTGTCGGAATGGGTGTGTCGGAATGGGTGTGTCGGAATGGGGTGCGCGGAATGGGGTGCGCGGAATGGGTGCGCGGAATGGGGTGCGCGGAATAGAGTGTGCGTGCAGCCGTAAAGGAGCGCATGGAGGGGGATATCGACCAGGTGCTCAAGATAGCGCAGGCGATCAAGCTCTGAACGTACCCTCGAGTCGTGACTTTTGAGTTGACTCAAGGTGACTTTTGAGTCGACTCAAAAGTCACCTAGATAGCGCAGGCGATCAGGCTCTAAACGCACCCTCGAGTCGTGTGGATGTGGGAGGAGTGAGGCGCAACCGCAGGCACGCTGCTGTATCCAATGCGGTGCCTGTCCCGAATGCCCCTGTCCCAAATGCCCCTGTCCCAAATGCCCCTGTCCCAAATGCCCCTGTCCCAAATGCCCCTGTCCCGAATGCCCCTGTCCTGATTGTTTGCACGTGCAGCTATAAAGGAGCGCATGGAGGGGGATATCGACCAGGTGCTCAAGAGCCGTGTGGATGTGAGAGGAGGGAGGTGCAACCACGGGCGTGCTGCTGTGTCTGATCCCATGTAGTGCCGGTTCCAATCCGAATGCCTTTTCCCGTTGATTGTCTGCGCGTGCAGCTATAAAGGAGCGAATGGAGGGGGATATCGACCAGGTGCTCAAGATAGCGCAGGCGATCAAGCGCAAGATCGAAGCGCTGAACAAAGCCGTGAGTGACAAGCGCTGAGCTGGCATAACCATGAGTCGCGTTGGCCCCGGTGATATCTCTTGGAAAAATCTCCTTATAACAGCTCATGGGTTTCTGCGTCTAAGGTTACTTGTGGTCTATTCTCCATGCGCCCCCCCCGCCCCCCCCCCCTCCTCCCCTCCCTTCCTCCCTTCCCCCTCTCCTCCCCTCCCTCCTCCTCGCATTGGCTCGTGTGCTGCTGCTTGTCCTCTGTGTCACGTGTTTGTGTCACGTGTTTGTGTCACGTGTTTGTGTCACGTGTTTGTGTCATGTGTTTGTGTCACGTGTTTGTGTCACGTGTTTGTGTCACGTGTTTGTGTCACGTGTTTGTGTCACGTGTTTGTGTCACGTGTTTGTGTCACGTGTTTGTGTCACGTGTTCGTGTCACCATCACACTCGCGTGTCCCTCACCTGCGTGTGTCTCGTTTGTGTGTGACTCGCTACGAGCAGAACGAGGAGAGTCGCAAGGTGCAAGGGTGTGAGAAGGGCTCGGCAACGGACCGGCAACGAATGATCATCACCACGACGCTTTCCAACAAGCTCAAAGCGCTCATGAACGAGTTCCAGGTGCGGCCACCCACTGAGAGCCCTCTTCTGTTCTGAGGCGCCTCAAAGCAAGGTGCAGAGGTGTGCCTCAAAGCAAGGTGCAGAGGTGTGCCTCAAAGCAAGGTGCAGAGGTGTGCCTCAAAGCAAGGTGCAGAGGTGTGCCTCAAAGCAAGGTGCAGAGGTGTGCCTCAAAGCAAGGTGCAGAGGTGTGCCTCAAAGCAAGGTGCAGAGGTGTGCCTCAAAGCAAGGTGGCAGAGGTGTGCCTCAAAGCAAGGTGCAGAGGTGTGCCTCAAAGCAAGGTGCAGAGGTGTGCCTCAAAGCAAGGTGCAGAAGCAGGTGTGCCTCAAAGCAAGGTGCAGAGGTGTGCCTCAAAGCAAGGTGCAGAGGTGTGCCTCAAAGCAAGGTGCAGAGGTGTGCCTCAAAGCAAGGTGCAGAGGTGTGCCTCAAAGCAAGGTGCAGAGGTGTGCCTCAAAGCAAGGTGCAGAGGTGTGCCTCAAAGCAAGGTGCAGAGGTGTGCCTCAAAGCAAGGTGCAGAGGTGTGCCTCAAAGCAAGGTGCAGAGGTGTGCCTCAAAGCAAGGTGCAGAGGTGTGCCTCAAAGCAAGGTGCAGAGGTGTGCCTCAAAGCAAGGTGCAGAGGTGTGCCTCAAAGCAAGGTGCAGAGGTGTGCCTCAAAGCAAGGTGCAGAGGTGTGCCTCAAAGCAAGGTGCAGAGGTGTGCCTCAAAGCAAGGTGCAGAGGTGTGCCTCAAAGCAAGGTGCAGAGGTGTGCCTCAAAGCAAGGTGCAGAGGTGTGCCTCAAAGCAAGGTGCAGAGGTGTGCCTCAAAGCAAGGTGCAGAGGTGTGCCTCAAAGCAAGGTGCAGAGGTGTGCCTCAAAGCAAGGTGCAGAGGTGTGCCTCAAAGCAAGGTGCAGAGGTGTGCCTCAAGAGGTGCAGAGGTGTGCCTCAAAGCAAGGTGCAGAGGTGTGCCTCAAAGCAAGGTGCAGAGGTGTGCCTCAAAGCAAGGTGCAGAGGTGTGCCTCAAAGCAAGGTGCAGAGGTGTGCCTCAAAGCAAGGTGCAGAGGTGTGCCTCAAAGCAAGGTGCAGAGGTGTGCCTCAAAGCAAGGTGCAGAGGTGTGCCTCAAAGCAAGGTGCAGAGGTGTGCCTCAAAGCAAGGTTGGCAGAGGTGTGCCTCAAAGCAAGGTGCAGAGGTGTGCCTCAAAGCAAGGTGCAGAGGTGTGCCTCAAAGCAAGGTGCAGAGGTGTGCCTCAAAGCAAGGTGCAGAGGTGTGCCTCAAAGCAAGGTGCAGAGGTGTGCCTCAAAGCAAGGTGCAGAGGTGTGCCTCAAAGCAAGGTGCAGAGGTGTGCCTCAAAGCAAGGTGCAGAGGTGTGCCTCAAAGCAAGGTGCAGAGGTGTGCCTCAAAGCAAGGTGCAGAGGTGTGCCTCAAAGCAAGGTGCAGAGGTGTGCCTCAAAGCAAGGTGCAGAGGTGTGCCTCAAAGCAAGGTGCAGAGGTGTGCCTCAAAGCAAGGTGCAGAGGTGTGCCTCAAAGCAAGGTGCAGAGGTGTGCCTCAAAGCAAGGTGCAGAGGTGTGCCTCAAAGCAAGGTGCAGAGGTGTGCCTCAAAGCAAGGTGCAGAGGTGTGCCTCAAAGCAAGGTGCAGAGGTGTGCCTCAAAGCAAGGTGCAGAGGTGTGCCTCAAAGCAAGGTGCAGAGGTGTGCCTCAAAGCAAGGTGCAGAGGTGTGCCTCAAAGCAAGGTGCAGAGGTGTGCCTCAAAGCAAGGCGCAAGGGTTTGGGCCGGGCTCATTCACAAGGTGGGTTGGGCTGGCAACGAATGACCATCACCACGACGCTTTCCAACAAGCTCAAAGCACTCTTGACGAGTTCCAGGTGCTGTGAACTCCTCTCACCTCTCTCATCTCATCTCTCACCTTGCTGACCATGCTCGTGCTAGTGCTCGTGTTAAGTTCCAGCGAGACCACCGCGACGTGGTGGAGAGGCGCTACTTCACAGTCAGTGGGCAACGCAGGGGTAGCTCCAGCTTAGGGACAAGTTTCAGGGGTATCTGTGCCCGTTGATATTGCCTCCTTCCCTGCTCACCTGTACCTGGCCTGGCCCTTCTTCCCTGCCTTCACCGCCTGTGCATGACCGCCTGTGCATGACCGCCTGTGCATGACCGCCTCTCCCCTGCTGCAGGAGCTGAGGGACAAGTTTCAGCGGGAGTATCGCGACGTGGTGGAGAGGCGCTACTTCACAGCCACGCGGCAACGCGCTCACTCCTCCCTTTCCTGCCTCCTCCCCTTCCCATCTGTGCCTTTCCATGTGCACCCGGCCCTTCCTCCCTGCCTGCGCTCTCTCCCCTGCCGCAGGAGCTGAGGGACAAGTTTCAGCGGGAATATCGCGACGTGGTGGAGAGGCGCTACTTCACAGTCACGGGGCAACGTGCCGACGCTGAGACGATCGACACCCTGATTGACAACGGGGAGAGCGAGGCGATCTTCCAGCGGGCGATTCAGGAGCAGGGCAGAGGACAGGTGGGTACTGTGGGGGGAGGTGTCAGGGGGATGTGGGGAGTCAGGGACGGAGGGTGGAAAAGGAAGTGAGGGTGAGAGATGGTGAGAGTAACGATAACCTGATTGAGAATGGGGAGATCGTGAGGTGATCTTCCAGAGGGCGATCCAGGAGCAGGGCAGAGGACAGGTGGGTCCTGCTGGGGGGGGTGTCAGGGGGATGTGGGGAGTCAGGGACAGAGCAGAGAGAGGATAAGATAGAGAGGGGGAGGGGGCTGAGACGATTGACACGCCGATTGATCATGGGGAGAGCACGAGGTGATCTGTCAGCGGGTAATTCAGGAGCAGGGCAGAGGACAGGGGGCGGAGGGGAAAGAGAGGCGTGCACACATCGCTCAGGTGATAGGCATTGGGCACGTTGGCGAGAACCAGAAGCGGCACAGTGCAGTACGTTCTGAGTTGATTTGAACACTTATTCCAGCCTCTCCCCCCTTGCTCCATTCTCTCCCGTCTCTCACATGCCCTGCTCAGCTGCTCACTTGCTGAGATCCAGGAGCGGCACTCTGCGGTGCATATTAGGTTAACTTCCTCAAAATTGGGAGAGCGGCACTCTGCTTGTTTTCCATTTCTTCTCCCTTTATCTCTGCACGTGGTCATCAGGTGATGGACACGTTGGCTGAGATTCAGGAGCGGCACTCTGCAGTGCAGGACATAGAGAAGCAGCTTCTGGAGCTGCACCAGATATTCATGGACATGGCGGTGCTGGTGGAGTCCCAGGGCGAGCTGCTCGACAACATAGAAGTGCAGGTGAGCAGTGCGGTGCGGTGCAGTGCAGTGCGGTGCAGTAGAGTGCAGTGCATTGCGGTGCAGTGCGCCGCTGGAGCTGCACCAGATATTCATGGATATGGCGGTGCTGGTGGAGTCCCAGGGCAAGCTGCTCGACAACATGGAAGTGCAAGTGAGAGCCCCTTGGCATGCGTTTAATGGCGTTGACTGGGTCTGCACGGCTTCCTAATGACCCTATACTTGCCGTTGCCCCTGTATGCACCATTCTCGCTCCAAGCAGCTGGGTGTAGAGAAGCATCAGCTTACCACTCTCTCCCTCCCTTTCCCCCCCATCCCTCCTGTCCCTCCCATCTCAACCCGCAGGTGGGGCAAGCAGTGGACCACGTGCAGCACGGCACCAAGCAGCTGGTGGAAGCCCGCAAGACACAACTCAACACTCGCAAGGTGGGTTCTACCACCCACCCGCTGTGATTCGCCTTCCTCGGTATACTGGAATGCATGAGTGTTGTGTCGTCAAATCATTGTTATGCTTGCTCTTGTTTGCAATCCCTGATTCACTATGTGTTCACCACTGTACCTTTTCTTTGCTTGCCTCCTCTTTCCTACAGTGGATCTGCTGTGGCGTTATCCTCGTTATAGTCATCATCATCGTTATCGTCATCGTTGTCGTCAAGCCTTGGGAATACATTCCAAAGAAATGAGAAGCACGCCTGCTCTGATTCTTATCCGCCACTTCATTCATCAGTACAGTCTTTAATGAAGTTTAGGGTCATTGTAACTTGGCAACACTGTTACTATTTTGATGGTGTGTAGCAGCAGCCTGATTCATTTTGTTATTGTACTAGGAGATTATTGTAGCAGCTGTTTGCTTGTTTGTTATTGTAGTCCTGCAGTGTTCCAACAAGTAGGCACCAGTTCACAAATGAAGTGCTTTAATAATTATACAATTTGGTTAATAGTTATCATATTTTTTTGTCACATTATCACATAGCAGTAAAGTCATTAGCTTATCGATAGCGTATGGTTCTGTCCTGTGAATGGTCTGTTCACATTCGCAGAAAGAACCAGAAAGGCAAAACTAACCGATGAAAAATCTTTACCTATCACACCACAGTACAAGTTCAATCTTGTGACACCTCAACTGCAGAGAGGCAAGAATGGAAAGCACCTCCTACCAGCGCAAAAAACGTTTGACTCACTGGCACCCAAGTGGGTAAAGAACCACTGATTAAACCTAAGTAACGCACATGATTGTGCTAATCACACCAACCTTACAGTCTCTCCCTTCAGTTGTCCAGCTGCTCTTCTATGTATGTGTCCTAGTCATCTCAGCCACATCATCTCATGGCAGCAGCTCTGTTCCTTGCTGGGGTCACACTGCCCTGCCAGGTGTGATCGCGGCTTCACACAGCACACATGCCATCCGTGTAACCCGCGTCCCTTGCAGTCACAGAGCAAATACCATATGCCACCCATGTAACCAGCATCCCTTGTGGTCACATCATCTCATCTCATGGCAGCAGCTCTGTTCCTTGTGGGAGCCACACTGCCATGCCGGCTGTGGTGCAGTGGCTGCAGGAAAGAACACAGGGGAAGTGTGGGAAGGGAAGCATGAAGAGGGGAGGGAATGCTGGATGGACAAAAACCCAGCCCGGCAGACAGTGAGGTGCGGTGTGGTGCTCTGATCCTTGCGGGAGCCACATTGCCATGCTGGCTGCGGTGCGGTGCGGTGCGGTGGGGTGCGGTGTGGTGCGGTGGTTGTGTGGTGCGGTGGTTGTGTGGTGCGGTGGTTGAAAGGAAGGACACAGGGGAAGGCATGGGAAGGAAGTACGCGGGGAAGGAGCACAAGGGATGGCTCTGTTCTTGAGAATTCTCAAAAACACCCTGTAAAATCAGGGATGGCTCTGTTCCTTGCTGGGCCCAGCCCCCCCCCCCAGCTTCCCCCCACCCAGCCCCTCCCCTCCCTCCCAGCCCTCCCCCCCAGCTTCCCCCCACCCAGTTTTGAGGCGCCTCAAAAGAAGAAACACAAGGGATGGCTCTGTTCCTTGCTGGGTCCAGCCCCCCCCCAGCTTCCCCCCACCCAGCCCCCCCCCCTCCTCCCAGCCCCCCCCTCCCTCCCAGCTCCCCCCCTCCAGCTCCCCCCTCCAGCTCCCCCTTTGCACCCCCCTCGCAGTCCTCAGGCTCGCGTAAAAGGGCACGGGTGGGTACAACCTGACAGGTACCTCCGAATAGCTTGATTTTCTTTCCTTGCTTTTTTTCTTTTTCTTCGTCTTCTTCGTCTTCTTCTTCTTCTTCTTCTAATCTGGTTTCTGTCCTTTTCTTTGCCTACACCTTGCTAAACATGACCTTGTGATTCCAGTGCCTTGCAAATGTCTGCCACACACCCATCTCGTTCTCCGCACCATTAGCTTCCCCTACCCAGCGGTAGCAGCAGATATTGCGAGCCCTCTTCCTCCCCCTCCGCCTCCTCCTCCTCCGCTCTTCCAGAACCGCCTAGGGGGAGCCACCCGCCTAGGGGGAGCCACCCACCGGGGGGGAACAGCCCATCGGGGCACCGCAGCAGCCACAAACCCTATCCCTGCCATCCTCGGCATTTCATTGCCGCACAACGCCGGTCACATCACATGCATACATACCTCGTTTTCAGTATCGTTCACAGCAGAAGCAGTTGCTGCAGCTGCTGCTGCTCCTCCTCCTCCTCCGCTCCTCCAGAACCGCCTAGGGGGAGTCACCCACCGGGGCACAGCCGCTGCCACAAACCCTATCCCCACCATCCTCCCCCCTCCGCCGCCCCCTCCCCATCCCTTCCCCCCCTCCGCTCCGCCCTCCCCCCCTCTCCCCCGCCAGGGACTTCCCGCCCTCCGCCAGGCCCCCCCAAACCCACCTCCCCCGGGTGATGCCTGCCTGGGGAAAACCTTGGAAGAGCTGTGCATTTTCCCAGTAGCATGAGTCGAGACTCCCCCACCTGTTACCCTTGCTGCTGCTGCTGCCCCTCCTCCTCCTCCTCCTCCTCCTCCTCCTCCTCCTCCTGCTGCTGCTGATACTGCTCCTGCCTTTGATTCCGTCCCATGACCTAGGCGGTTATACACCTCGCCTCTCCCCCCCCATTCCCCGTTCCCCCCACCTCCTTCCGCCATGGGCGGGGAACTCCCCCCTTGGCTCCCCCCACCTCCCCACCCTCCCCGTTCCCCTCCGCCCATGGTCCCCCCAGGGGTGGTCGGCGCAGCAGCAGCAAATAGGGATAGGGGGACGTCTGTTCCGGTGATCGTAGCAGTTCCGCCAGGAGAAGGGGGATTGGAGAGGTAAAAGGGGTCACCTTCCGCCATCCCCCTTCCCCCCACCCCCCTTCCGCCCATCCCCGCGCCCCCCCTCCCCCCATGGTCGGAAGCTATGCTTCTAGGCACATGCAGAATGGCTTCTAGGGAAGGGACAGGAATCTGCACTTGAGGCTTGCATTGTATGTGTGAGGGAGTGAGGGAGGGAGCGTGGGAGTGAGTGAGGGTGCGAGTGTGGGTGTTATTGTGCAAGGGGTTGAGTGTGTGAGATTGGGTGGTGTGAGGTTGGGAGAGAGTAGGAGTGTGGCTTCGGCTGCGCGTGTGGCCCTGTCCCTCGTTATAACCACGTGAGTCAGAAGAGGCAGCAGCAACCGCAGCAGCAGCAGCGGAAGCAGACGCAGCAACAGCAGCCGGGGCAGCAGCAGCAGGGGGTGCAGGAGCGTCAAGATAGTCAGGGTCCATAACCCAACCTTGGTAGACAGTAGTAGCGGCACCGACGCCAGCAACAACACTACCAGCACCAGCACCAGCAGCAGCAGCAGCATCCCCAGCAGTCATAGAACCGGGCACTCGGTGCGAGTACGAGTCTACCACTCCTGTTGACACCCCTCCTCCTGCTCCTGCTGCTGTTGCTACTGCTGCAGCTGCTGCCATAGCAGCAGCAGCCGCCGCAGCAGCAGCAGAGGTATTGGAAGAGGTAACCGGAGACGTGTAGGAGCGTTGCGGGTGGGACAGAGCTGGATGGGTGGAGTGTGACTGTTGCGAGTGTGACAGCTGCGAGTGTGACTGTTGCGAGGTGTGCCTGGAGTTTCTTCTAAACAAGCCATGAAATAAGCCGTGATGGTGGTGATTGTGGTGGGGGTGCTGGTGGGGAGCGGTGGTGTGACTAAAAGAGGTGTGACTATCCTGGTTTTGGCTGCTGCTCTGCCGGTCTGTGCTCTGATCCGCCTCGTTATAGTGGTGGGTGTGCTGCTGCCCCTGCTGCTGCTGCTGCTGTTTCTGCTGCTGCAGCAGCAGCTGCTGCCGCTGCTGCTCCTCCTTACCCTGTCGGGGTGACTGTAACGAGAGGCGCAGCCGCAGCGGGCTCAACCCCCCCTTCTTCCCGCCGCTGCTGCTCTGCTTCCCCCCCAGACTCTCTCGCCCCCGTGACTCCCCCCGTGACTCCCCCCGTGACTCCCCCCGTGACTCCCCCCGTGACTCTCCCCCCCTCTCCCGCGCCCCTGATACGGCCGTCACCGAGTCAACCCTATTCCCGGGGGGGATTAAATAATCGTCAAGCGCACCGTTGGCGGCCTTATGGGACCCTATGCCCGGCCGCGCCTGTATTTCGCCGCCTAACCCGGCGGCTATCCCCCCGCCTACCCCGCCGCCTAATCCGCCAGCGCCGGACTTCGGGGCAGCGGCTGCTGTCCCTGCTGCCGCGTTCATACCCGTTACTGCTGGCCCCGCTCCGCTATACGTACAATCCGCTGCGCCCGCCGCAGCTAGTATCTCCCCCAGTACATCCTCCTCCTCCCGCCCTCTCTCCCGCGTGGATGCGCCCTCGCCGCTCCGCGCGTGCGGATTTCCGCCCAGTCCTCCCCCCGCGCAAGCTCCCTGGGCCATTCCCCCGATCCGCGCGGAAACCTCCCCAGACCCGTGGGTACGCGGACTCCGCCTCTCCGCCTCTCCCCCTCCCCTTCCTCCGCCGCTCCCCGCCCCCGCCCCTGCGCCTGCCGCTCCGCGCGAACTCTCCAACCCCCCCTCCGCCTCCGCCTCCCCCTCCCCCTCCCACACTACCGGAACAAGCTCGTGCGCACCCCACACCCCGCTCATGGCGCACGCGCGCTGCCCCTTGAGCGCAAGCAAGTTAGCGTCTCTTAGGAACCGCACCATATGCTGCTGACGGAAATCTACGACGGATGCCGTGCTTCGGACCGCGCGGTCGCGCAGCGCCGCGAGATCGATTGACACGTCAGCAGCAGCGTGATGGTGATGAGGTGGCGGTGGCGGCTCGTGCGGTGCCGCTTGTTTTGATTTATGCGGCTGCTGCTGCTGAGGTGACGGAGGGCCACCGCCGCCGCCGCCGCCGTCGCTGCTGTCGTGCTGCCACGTGGCTTGCTGCCGCGCTGACGTGGAAGGGCCCAAGTCGTACGCCACCTCCGAGCCGCCCTTGCGCCCCGTCGAGTCGCCATACGGGCCCACTACACGCGTCGCGGTTCCTAGATTCCCTATGCTCCCGGATAGGAGAGCCGCCGAGCCGCCTGTGGCCGAGGCGCCCGTGGACGGCTGCGCGCCACGTGTCTTCTTGATGAGGAGGAAGATGGAGCGCGAGGTGCTGACGTGGTCCGGGGGGGTGGGTGACGTGGGGGACGTGCTGCCGAGAGCGGCAGATGCGGCGCCGAATGCGGCGAGGTGGTGTTGCCAGCCATGGGGATGAGCTTGAGCGTGGGGAGTCGGATGGTCGATGCTGACTTGCATGGCGGCCATTCCTTTCTCTCTTTCTTTCCTTCTGTCTTTCGACGACGAAACCGCGTGGATTCGACGCCTTGGGAGCTCGCCCAAAGTACAACTGCACGCGTCGATCGTCACCGTCGCACGAATCTAGTAGCAACAGCTATGCGATAGCTATGCGACGACTAAGCGATAGCTAAGCGAAAATCTCCTTAGCCTGTCTAGCTTAGCAAGAATCCACAGCGGCTTCTGCGATCGACTACTATTTTTTAGGCGCCTCAAAACGCGGGTGTGCGATCAACCGCTATCAGCACCTGGAGCGCCGTCTACCTTTTTCCGACCGGTGGCCCCGCGAAAGACGCTTCACTGAAACGACGCACCGACCAGCGCGAACTGGCTTATAACGAAACAGAACCTTCGTCGGTACTAGAAAGCTGCCAAGACACCGAGAGTTGCGCAGGGTGGGAGAGACGGGGAGAGGGAGAAAACTACGTCGGGGCTCGGGAGGGAGACGTGCTGGTTGTCAGGAAATGGAGGGATGCCTGCCTGCTGATGAGCGTGGGGGAGAACTGTCATGGTGCCATGGATCTGCCGGCGGCTATGCCATGGGCGCGTGGGACGGGACGGGACGAATCAGGAATACGTGTGCAATGAAATAAGTCTGCGTGAGTGGAAGCGGTTCTGGCAGGACTCTCGGGCTGGGAGGGAGATCGAAAAGTCTGTCAAATCTCGAGTCTAGACTCTAGGCCAATGGTATCAAGTCTGCCTGTCGAATAAAAAAGAAACGAACGAAAGGAAACGGAGTAGTGCTGTCCGTCAGTCAGTCAATAGCACCAGCAGCCGCAGCAGCAGCAGCTTGTGCTGCACGCGCAGCAGCAGCCCACGCGGGGCAGCAGGCGTTTGACGAACAGACCCGCAACTGCGACGACCTACCGCGGACCAGTAGCACGGCAGCGCACGGCAAAATGCCGCAGACGAAAGAGAGGGTTACCACAACGCCAGCCTCGAGATGAGCAAGTCTCGCGTTTGCGAAACGAGGCGACGTTTGGAATCGGGGCGTAGCGGGTCGCACCAGCTTGCTGCTGGCGTGTAAAAATGGGCTGGCGGCGGTACAGTGGTGGGGGGGAACTGGGCAAGGGGAGCGGAGTGTGCGACGCTTTTGGCGAAGAGCGAGCGAGCTTGCGACTGGCAACATCGAGGATGGCAGGTCAAGTCCAGCTATTCGGCCCCGAAAAGTTGAGGGAATCGAGGTCGTCCTCACTCGCCGCTCGCTCGCACACGCCTCGCGGTTCGCCTGATATGATCGGCTCGGCATGATCCATGGTGATCAGTCAGTCGGTGTGTGCTTGCTTGCTCGCGAAGTTGCGACTCCCTGGTTGTCAGCGTCGCGTCTCGGAACGGAAGGTCACGGCAAACCACCTGCAGAATGCCTGCGGTCAACAGGATTGGTTGATGCTGAAAGGCAGGGATAATCATTCTGAAGGGGTTCGGTTTTAAACTACACACGAGAATTGTATTTTAGAACATCGTATAAAGTTACTGTACAGTTATGGGATCCTTTTCAAATACTATCCCACAGGACAGCAAAGTGGCGACGAATGGAGAAGATGACGAGGGGAAACAGATTCGAGATGACCCAGGGAATTTGAACAACCACAGTTTGCCAACAATGCAAAAAGGGGCTGTTTTGATCGTTAATTCTGGAAGGGCTGCTCGCAAACTGCAGTACGAGCCGCAAGAGGGCTTCGAGGAAGTTCCACCGTTGGTCATTGGTCGCCTTGTGCGACAGCAGGAGCCAGTCGCAAAGAACTCCTGGCCTTTGTCGCCGAGGCAAATGTGCGTCCTCGCATTTCGCGCCGAATCACCAAAGCATTGCCGTGAATGGTAGCCATCGCACATTTACAAGCACTCTGGGGCCTGTCGCCTGCCCATCACAGCAACCTCTTCCTGTCAGGTGGCCACAAGTCGATAACATTACAGTTCACAAAGTCTACAATTTATCAGCAAAGGTCATATTTAACAGTACTTGCTTGAATCATCATGACAATCTACAAAATTGGAGTGGTTCACCCTCGTACTGTAACATCCAAAACAATAATCAGTTAGATTTTGAAGCAAAACTACACAATAACTTCAAGGTTCAAAGGACATGAACCTTGAAGAGGATTCACGAAAAGAAAGAAGAAGAAGAAGAAGAAGAAGAAGAAGAAGAAGAAGAAGAAGAAGAAGAAGAAGAAGAAGAAAAAAAAAAAAAAAAAGAAAAAAAAAAAAAAAAAAAAAAAAACCACCATGCTTAGAGGCTAGATAGGTGCGTACTCTTAGATGGTACACCCTTTTAGACAAAACCACCATGCTTCTCCTCATTCTAGTTAATCTTTCTACGCTAACATGCTGATGAATCTAGTGTGGCTGGACCCTATTACCCCACGTCGCCTAGCGTAGGTGTGTCCCCTGTGTGTAGTCTAAGCTCCCCTGCTGCGTCAGGCGTAGGACCCCCTGCCTTGTTTAGCCTAGGCACCACGCTAGCCCTTTCGCCGGCTGACGCTACTACTTCGCTCTCTTTCACACTCGACTCTGGAGTGTCTGCTTGCTTCTTCCGGGACCATACTGGGCTCAAGCCGCTTGCCGCCGCTGCCGCTGTTGCACTTGCTGACCCCTCCTCAGGTCTGGTAGTTGCCCGTAGCTCCACCACCCTTCCCTATCCGGCGGTTCCCTCGGGTTCTCTTACAGGCCTGCTCATTCCTTCGTTCTCCAGGAACCTAGTTGGAGTCGGCAGACTTCAAGACCTCGGCGTCACCACTACGTTCCCCACACACGAGCGGTATGCCGTCTGTACCGAGGCCACCACTGGTGCACCACAGCCTAGGTCACCCCGCACTCCCGCACCTGCGTCACATGTCACATCACGGTCTTGTCCTAGGTCTCCCAGCGTCGCTCCCCACCCTTCCTCCCTCACCTGCGCTGCCGTGCACGCCTTACGTCGAGGCCCGGCTATGTCGTGCTCCTCACCCCTCCTCGCTTCCCCCTACCACTGCGCCACTCCAGACCCTGGACGTTTGGGGCCCAGCCCCCGTCCTTGGGCTGCGTCGCGAGCACTACTTTCTAGTGCTTGTCGATGACTACACGCACTACACCACGGTGTTTCCCCTGGAGCGGAAGGCTGACGTGCCTGACGTTCTTAATTCGTGGGTCGTAGCTGCGCGAGTCCACCGCGGCCTCCCTGTACTGCGTCTCCACTCCAACCGTGGCGGCGAGTTTGCCTCCGGCCGGCTTGGCCAGTACTGTCGTGCGGAGGGCATCACCCAGTCGTACACCCTGCCGGACTCCCCACAGCAAAATGAGGTCGCTGAGCGACGCATCGCTTTTGGTCATGGAGGTGGCTCATACCTGCATGATCCATGCCGGTGCACCCCATTATCTGTGGTCGTTCGCTGTTCGCTACGCCACTCACCAGCGTAACCTGTGGCTGCACTCCCAGGGGCAGCAGGTTTCGCCGACCCTTATTTGGATCGGGTTCCCTGGTGACGCGTCTGTGTTCCACGTCTTGGGCTGCCTTGCTCACGTTCGTGCCTCTAGCACGGACAAGCTCACTGCCCGCACTATCCACTGTGCCTTCCTTTGCTTCCCCCTCGACGCGTTTGACTGTCACTTTTACCACCCGCCATCTCACCGCTTCTTTCACTCACGTGACGTTACTATTGACGAGTCTCTCTCCTTCTAACATCGCTTTCCCCACCGAGGTCTCCTGGAGTTCCCGCTCCTGTTTCTGGATCCCACTCCCTCGGTAGCCCCTTCTCCTCTCCCTCCCCGTCCTGCCCCGTCTGGTGTGTCTCACATCACTCCCCTCTCGTCAGCTGTCCCGGTCGAAGAGTCGGCTAACTCTGGTGGCCCAGCGGTGCCATTCTCACCGCCTGTCTCCGCCCTGGTGTCTCATCCTCCGCCGTCGCAGCAGCCGCCGCCGTCGCCGCCGTAGCAGCAGCCCCCGCCGTCGCCGCCGCAGGGGTCCGCGAGCTCTGGGGGTGCGGGCGTTGAGGAGGGCGCTAGCCCTGAGGTTCCTGTCGTGGCTTGTTCCGGTGGTCTTGGGGGTGGCACCGGTTTTGGAGAGGGTTCTCGCTCTAGGAGTGTTCGTGTGGAGTGTCCCGAAGGTAGCCGTAGTGCAGCTGGAGGTTTTGGTGTCGGCGCGGAGCAGCAGCAGCAGCAGCAATCGCCACCGGTGTCCGCCCTTTGCCTCCTCGGACTTCCCTCCCATGACCACCCGCCTGTGCCTCCGCCGCCGCCGCCTCCCCTTCTTGTCTACGGCCCCGTCTTTCCTCCGCCGGACTCGTCTCCGGCTCATCTCCCCCCTCGTTCTCCTCCTGTGTCTCCTCCCGTGTCTCCTAGCCCGACGCCTCCGTCCCACTTCTGGTCTCGTCGTCCTTCTCGTGCTCATCCAGTCTCCCATGTTTAGCGCTCTCACCCTATGTTGCTTTGTTCCCACGCGTCTCGTCCTCCCCTCCTCCCGTTGCCTCCTCCGTCGTCGCTTGTTGTCGCTCCGCCTGCTCTGTCTACCTTCGTGCTGCTAGTCCTCTTGTTCCTCGGGTCCTTGCCTACCTCGTTACCGACCCGTCTGTTCCTGTCTCGAGTCTTTACGCGCTTGTCGCTGTTGTTGCTGAATTTCCCTCTACCCGCCGCCTTGACTATGCCACCGCTCTGGTCTCTGACCCTGTCCGTCCTCCGTCCGTCGAGGGTGCTCCTACCCTTGGCAATGACGTCCTGGAGGACCGGCAGTACGAGCTTGCTTTCCTGTCTGAGGCTGCGCCTTATCTCTGTTCCATGCTGCTAGTCTCTGAGGGGGACCCAGGCGCCTTTGACATCCCGACCTCGGGACTCTGGGCCTCTCAGTGGATAGCTGCCATGGACGTGGAGATGTCATCTTGGACATCCACCGGCACTTACGTCAACGCAGTTCCCCCACCTGGGGTGAACGTAGTCGATAGCTGGTGGCTCTTCAAGGTGAAGCGCCCTCCTGGAGAGCCATCGGGGTTCCAAGAGCGCTACGTTGCTAGAGGCTTCAGTCAGCGCTGGGGTGTTGACTTCTTTCAGACCTTCGCCCCGACCCCGAAGATGACTACTCTTCGGGCGATATTATACATAGCAGCACAATGAGACTACGAGCTGTACTCTCTCGACTTCTCAACAGCGTTTCTTCAGGGTAGTCTGCACGAGCAGGTCTACCTGCGTCGCCCGCCATGCTTCATTTGCACCTTCGTCCCCGGGACTCAGTGGCTTCTCCGGCGCCCGGTCTACGGCCTGCGATAGGCGCCACACGTGTGGCACGACATGTTTCGTGCTACGTTAGCTGGTCTGCAGTTCTTCCAGTCCTCTACAGACCCCTCGCTCTTCGTTCGTGCTAGCCAGACCCCATTCTACATCCTTGTCTACGTAGATGACCTGGTCTTTGCTACTGCATAGAGCGACACACTGGCCTCCGTGAAGGTCATGTTGCTGAGAAGACACACCTGCACTGGCCTAGGAGAGCTGCGCCGCTACCTTGGCTTGCAGATCTCCAGGGACAGAGCAGCGCGCACCATCACTCTGACACAGTCACACTTGGTGCGCCAGGTCCTTCAGAGGTTCGGTCTTCAGTTCTCCTCCGCACAGCCTACATCTCTGCCTGTAGATCACATGCTCTCGGCTCCAGTCCATGAGGATTCTGTAGAGCGTAGTGGTCCTTAAGCCGAGCTGGTGGGTTGCCTCATGTGCCAGATGACTTGCACTCGTCCAAATCTCGCATACCCTCTCTGCATTCTGGCTCGCTTTGTGGCCGCAGGAAGACACGGACCACAACATTGGTCGACCGCTAAGAGGGTTTTGCATTATCTAGCAAGTACATCGGGCATGGGGCTAGTGCTAGGAGGACGACGACGGGGCACACAGACGCGTCGTGGGCAGACGACGCTGAGACACTCGGGTCCTCCCAGGGCTACTTCTTCAGCCTTGGTGCAGGTGCCATCTCGTGGAGGTCCACCGAATCGTCGTCTGTTGCCCAGTCTAGCTGTAAGGCTGAGATCTACGCTGGCACAGGAGCTGTGCTCGCTGACTTTCTTGCTTACAGACTTAGGTGAGTGGCCTAGCTCCACCCCGGTCCTGTACGCTGATAACAAGGCCATGATCCTCCTGTGTCAGGAGCCTCGACTGAAGGGCAGAGCAAAGCACATCCAGCTGCGGTACTTCCTCCTGCGCTAGCTACAGCAGCGGTGCTAACACAGCTGATATCTTTACGAAGGCGCTTGCGCCTAAAGGTCATTAGCGGCACTGTGTACAGCTTGGTCTAGTTCCTGTAGCTTCTCACTTGCTAGGACCTTGATGTATACTTCCTGTTATATGATATTGACTGGCCTTGTGGCTCTTGTTCCAATGGCTGGACTTGTAGTGCCACCCTGCGTTACTCTTCTTTAGTTTGTACTCTTGCTGACTGGTCTTCGGACCCTTGCCTCAGAGGTTGGACTAGTAGTGCCACCAGGAGCTGTGCGTCTCTTGCTAGGCACTGCCCCTCATCTAGCCTAGGGGGTGTGTCAAACACATTTGTACTCTTAGAGGGTACAACCCCTTAGACAAAACCACCATGCTTCTCCTCATTCTAGTTAATATTTCTACGCTAACAGTAGTAGCACTCGGAAAAACTGAACTGCACCGCACTAGCACAGCGGGACGAGTGTCACTCCTGCTAAGCTTTCTCCCACCCCTCTCCCCCACCCCCCCCTTCCCTCCCTTCGCTCACTCTCATGACTATCCCGCCTCGCCACGCGCACCAATCTTAGAGCCGCTCTTTGTTAAACAGCGATCCGCACCACAGCCCCTACCCTGATTTCATCACACTCGCAAACACCTGCGCTCCCACCCCCACTCTTAACGCGCACCGTGCGCGGGCCATAGGTGCTTAACGAAGCGCACTCCCGCCTTCCCTCCCACCTGCGGGGGACCAGCGCCGCCGCTTAACCCCGAGTCGCGCTCCTCACTAAGGGTTCCCCACGCCACTCACGTTACCCACTCTCCTTGCCTTACGTTCTCCCACTCGCCTTGCCCTCCTCCCTACCCTGTGGAATGCCCTCCATCCCCCCTTTCTCTGCTCGCCTTCTCCCCCTCTCCTGCCATCTTTTCTCCCCATCCCCATCCACTATGCATCCCCCACCCTTGCCCTCCTTTCCCCCCACCGCGTGCCTTCTGTGTCCCCATCCCCTTCCGCTCGCCTCCGTTGCTCGCTCCCAACCCCCCGTTTGCCCGCGTCTTGCCCATCCCCATCTGCCCCTCGTGACCCCCCTCTCACTCCGCTCCCTTCTCCACCCACCCAACTCTTGCCCCTTATTGCCCTTTTCTCCACAAAGTCTCCCCCCCCCTCCCTCCCCTGGGTTTTCCAACCCCATGCTACCCGTCACTGCCATTCTCTCACTCCCACACTCTGCTCATGCAAAGCTCTGCTGCCCCAGCCCCCCCTCCCCCCCCCCCCCCCCCTCCCCCCAGATCCCACCCTCACCCCAAATGCAGCCCCCTCCTGTCTCTCCTTGTCACGAAAGAGCCTTGATTCACCACCCCCTTCCTCTCACGTGTCTCCTCTCTGCCCATTCCCACCAGTGCCTCTCTACCCCGCTACTTCCACCGGGGAACCCAATTCGCTGACGCATCTACCCCAACTGGCCCTCTTCTGCCATGCTCTCCTCATCCCCCCATCGGCACATCCCCGTCTGCCCTCTTGCAGCCGATTGAGAACCTTCTCCGTTCATCCCTCCATCCATAACCCTCCTTCATCGACTCGGAGCCAACATCCCAACCCAATCACTACCCTCTTGCCACCCCTCCGCTGGTCCACCGTCCTCCCCTAACCCTTGCCTATCGTCCCCCCCTATCCTGGGCCCACTTTCCCCCCATACTGTGCCCCAATTTCCTCGCTGCCAGTTGCCTCCTTCCCCCCCGACCCTAGCCCCAACCCCTTCTAACAAAGCCATCCCCCCTAACCCCTACCCAAAGCCCTCCTTCTCCTTCACCACCTCGCTCCTCCCACCCTGTCCCTCGCTGGCACTTTCCCACTCCCCCCCTTCTTTGCCAATCCCAACCTGCCACCCTATGTCTTTCACATAATCCCTTTGTTTGACATTCCTTTCTCCTTGTACCCCTTGGTAACGTGTTCCGTCCACTCTGTCCGTGGCGGGCAGGCGAGCAAGCGAGCAGGCGGGCGGGCGAGCAGGCGAGCACGCGAGCGTGCGAGCTGGTGAGCAGGCGGGCTGGCGGGCTGGCGAGCAGGCAAGCAGGCAGGCTGGCAAGCAGGCGAGGGTGCGAGCGGGTGGGCTGGTGGGCTGGCAAACAGGCGAGCTGGCGAGCAGGCGGGCTGGCGAGCGTGCGAGGTGGCAAGCAGGCGGGCTGGCGGGATGGCAAGCAGGCGAGCAGGCGGGCTGGCGAGCGGGCGAGCAGACGAGCATGCAAGCTGGCGAGCAGGCAGGCTGGCGGGCTGGCGAGCAGGTGGGCTGGCGCGAGCTGGATCAGGCTACGAACGGGTGACGGGAGGTGGGATGGCTATGAATTAAGGCGCTGGCGGGCGCGGGCCAGCGGCGGCTGGCGTGAGCTACGCGACGAAGAGGAGAGGGTGGGGAGGGGACAAGCTACGAGGCGCGCAATCAGGGCCGAGGCGCGCTAGGCTAGGGTGTGCTAGGGCGGAAGCGTGAGTGTAGGGCGAAACCTAGCTCTAGATGCCACGTCAGAACTCAGTCACTAACCACTGAGTTAAAATGGCTTGTTAAGTAGCGGGTAAGTGCGCCCATAACCCCCCAGGCTCTGCACCTGTAACCCTCCCCCAAGGACCAAGGGCAACCCCAGCGTGTATCTTGACAATTGACCTCTAGCAATGTCCGCCATGTTTGGCCAGCCATTGTCTCCTCATGTCTCGAAGAGCCTTGGTACGATGGCACAGTCTAGGCGAGATAATACATTTTGTATGTAATAATGTGTAGTCCTACTAGAGAATGTTAAAATTATATTTTATATAATTGTAGGCTTGGTAGTTATGCTACTAACTGCATCCTACTGTAGGGGGGACAACCCCCTTCTTGTACTTCATTCTCTTCTAGTCTATCTCTTCTTCTCTCTCGACAATTTTCTTCTTCCCTAGCTAAACCCCGGCCGCCATTTCATGGCGGCCTTCTTCATTACTTGTTAGCTCGCATTCGAACAGAGAAAACCATGATTAGTTGATGCAACGTGCTATCATAATCAAATTATAAAGCCAACAGCCGTTATGACAACCCCCTAGACCCTCCTACAACCAACGTGCAGCGTAGCCTCCGAGCTACCAAAAAATCTGAACATATTCTTCGCTGGCCGCCACACAATCATCCTACTCGGCAGGCATTAGCATACGAGTCGATGGTATCCGCGAGCATGCAGGCGGGGAGCCGGTTTTGGCCTCATCTAAGGCTGAGACGGTATTGGGCAATGTGGGGGTGAGGGAGAGCAGGGGAGCGGGAGAGCAGGAAAGAGGGAAGGGAAGGCAGGAGATTGGGGGAGTGGGTGAGCGGGCGAGCAGGAGAGCCTGAGAGCGGGAGAGCAGGAGAGCAGGAGAGCAAGGGAGAGGGAGAGCTGGAGAGCCTGAGAGCGGGAGAGCGGGAGAGCAGGAGAGAGGGAGAGGGGGTGGCAGAGCGGGAGAGCGTGTGGGAGAATGGCAGGGTGAATGGGAGAGCGGCAGAGTACGAGAACGGGGGAGCGGGAGAGTGTGGGGGAGCGGGAGAGTGTGGGTGGAGCAGGAGAGTGTGGGTGGAGCAGGAGAGTGTGGGGGGAGCGGGAGAGTGTGGGGGGAGCGGGAGAGTGTGGGGGAGCGGGAGAGTGTGGGTGGAGCAGGAGAGTGTGGGGGAGCGGGAGAGTGTGGGTGGAGCAGGAGAGTGTGGGGGAGCAGGAGAGTGTGGGGGGAGCGGGAGAGTGTGGGGGGAGCGGGAGAGTGTGGGGGAGCGGGAGAGTGTGGGGAGAGCAGGAGAGTGTGGGGGAGCGGGAGAGTGTGGGTGGAGCAGGAGAGTGTGGGGGAGCGGGAGAGTGTGGGGGGAGCGGGAGAGTGTGGGGGAGCGGGAGAGTGTGGGTGGAGCAGGAGAGTGTGGGGGAGCGGGAGAGTGTGGGTGGAGCAGGAGAGTGTGGGGGAGCGGGAGAGTGTGGGTGGAGCAGGAGAGTGTGGGGGAGCAGGAGAGTGTGGGGGAGCGGAGAGTGTGGGGGAGCGGGAGAGTGTGGGGGGAGCGGGAGAGTGTGGGGGAGCGGGAGAGTGTGGGGGAGCAGGAGAGTGTGGGGGAGCGGGAGAGTGTGGGGGAGCGGGAGAGTGTGGGGGGAGCGGGAGAGTGTGGGGGAGCGGGAGAGTGTGGGTGGAGCAGGAGAGTGTGGGGGAGCGGGAGAGTGTGGGTGGAGCAGGAGAGTGTGGGGGAGCAGGAGAGTGTGGGGGGAGCGGGAGAGTGTGGGGGAGCGGGAGAGTGTGGGTGGAGCAGGAGAGTGTGGGGGAGCGGGAGAGTGTGGATGGAGCGGGAGAGTGTGGGGGAGCGGGAGAGTGTGGGGGGAGCGGGGCTTCCCGCCCTGTCCGAGCCCTCCTCCCCCCTCACACAAGAGCGGGGCTTCACCCCCTGTCTGAGCTCACCTCCCCACACAACCAGGGCTCGTCTTCCCCTCTGTCTGATCCCACCTCCCCCTACACCAGAGCGGGACTTCCCCCCCCGTCTCAGCTCACCTTCCCCCCCTGACTGAGCTCACCTCCCCCTCCCAAGCAGGAGAGCGGGAGCGCGGGCGAGCGGGAGAGCGGGAGCGAGGGAGAGCGGGCAAGGGGGGGAGTGGGAGAGTGGGGGAGTTAGAGAACGAGCGGGAGAGCGGGAGAGCGGGAGAGCGGGAGAGCGGGAGAGCAGGAGAGCGGGAGAGCGGGAGCGCGGGAGAGGGGGAGAGCGGGAGAGCGGGAGAGCGGGAGAGCGGGAGAGCGGGAGAGCGGGAGAGCGAGAGAGCGGGAGAGCGGGAGCGCGGGAGAGGGGGAGAGCGGGAGAGAGTTCGTGGAATGGCGTGGAGCTTGGCGCGGGCAGGCAGGGCTGCGTGGGCGATTCCTAGTGGCCCTTGCTTGGCGCGCAGTTGAGAGCGGGCTAGGCGCGAGGTGTGGAAGGGATAGGCATGGGTCGGGCGAGGGGATGCCCTGCCTAGAACGGCGGGCCTTGCGCGTGGTGGACAAACGAAATACGTGTTTCGCGTGCATGGTGTCGGGCGGCGCCGCTGAATAACCGAGTGAGGTTCTCGCCTCTCCCAATCGCGCATTTTTTCGCGACGCCGCGGCGTGGGCAGGGGAATGGCTTGGCGGGAATGGCGGGGCACTGCGTCATGGCCTACAAGTGCATAAGGGACTTGGCATCTTGGTGGGTTGGTGGGTTGTTTTGCTGTAGGGAGACCACCTGCGTCGTATGGCTGTCGCTCGGCCAATCAGTGATTTGCGCCAGCCAAGTTTCCCCCTCTCAAGGGCCAACCGGGTTACCAGGTTTCCTTGGGTTTGGCGCGGGTTCGTCACTCCGCAGGTTCAAAATCCTTTGAAACCTTGAAGTTATTGTATACTTTTGCTTTGACATGATAAATTGATGATTCAGGATATGGCAATTCCACTTCCACAACAGCTGTTTCTCTTAGAGCTTTGGATATTCCTCCCACCAAAATTTACATGTCAAGGTCTTTGCATGTCATCATCCCAATCCTCATCAATCTCCACTCACCTCCGTCTGGCTCCCACCACCCCCATCCCCTCCTCGTTCACTCGGAATTTCAACGTCTGTGTGGCTGTGTGGGATGTGCTGACCAGCTGCTGCAGTGACTTTTGATTCGACTCAAAAGTCACCTCTGCTGCAGCATCATCTACTCTTCCAACGCCCTAACAGCTCCGATCTTCCACCAGGTACCTGTAACCCCCCCCACCTCTCCCCCCTCCCCTCCCCCCTCCCCTCCCCCTCCCCTTCCCCATCCCCCTCTGACCTTCCACGAGTGTGACCGCGTAATAACTGGCTGCTGCAGCATCTTCTCTTCCTCCAGCACCACCATACCCAGATGGCTCGGGTCCTCCAGCATCATTTCCGCCACTAGGTACTTGTTTTTTTCACAACCCCCTTGCTCTCCTGAAATCCCCCCCCCCCCCCCCCCCTCCCCCCCTCCCCCCTCTCCTGCCTCTCCCGCCTCTCCCCCATCTGCCTGTCCCCTCTCCCCCCTCTCCCCACATCTCCCCCCACCAGACTTAAAACTTCCACGAGTGCGACCGCGTAATAACGGGCTGCTGCAGCATCTTCTCTTCCTCCAGCGCCACCATACCCAGATGACTCGGATCCTCCAGCAACATCTTTGCCACAAGGTACCCCGCCACGCTCCACGTCTGTTGCTTGCGCGCCTGCTTGCCCACGTACCGCCCCAGCTTCCCATCATAGTACTCGGGCCAGTTGTCCTGGGAGAGCCGTTTTTCTGCTACGTCTATTGCACGGCGCGCCACGTGGGGGCGGCCCACCTTGATGCTGGCTGCTGTGAGCATCCAGAGGAGCACTGCAATGGGGCGAGGGGATTCAGATAAGGGAGGGGGCACGGGAGGCAGTGCGGCAGGGCGGGCAAGAGGAAGAGGGGAGATAGCAGTGAGAAGGAGGAGTAGGGGACTCCAGGTGGATCCCACCTCGTGTGTAATGAGTCTATTTTTGAGTCGACTCAAAAGTAGGGGACTCCACGTGTATCCCACCCCGCCCACCACACGCCACGCTCCACGTCGGCTGCTTGCCCGCCTGCTTCCCCATGTACAGCCCCAGCTACTCGGGCCAGTTGTCCCGTGAGAGCCATTTTTCTGCTGCGTTACATCAAATTCCCCCTCGGCTCTAGAGCACCAGCTACTCACAAACCCTCACCTGGCCAGGACCCCGTTGTGGTAGCTCCAGCGGGTGTTCTTCGGGTCACACCCCGACGTGGTCGCCACCGCAGGGCGGTCCTAGTGCCACCTTGAACGGTCAGATCCCACCATGGCACTAGGACACCAACCAGTCACAGAAATTCGCACCTGGCCAGGACCCCCCATTGTGGTAGCTCCAGCGGGTGTTCTTCGGGTCACACCCCGTCGTGATCCGCCACTCGTGGCCCTCTAGAGCCGGGTACGTCACTTTGAGGGGCATCTCCCCTATGAGCTCGTCCCAGCGCTCCTCTATAAGGTCCATGATCGCTGCTGCCTGCTCGCTCGTTGCCATGCAGGCAAGGATCGCTACGCAGTTGCCCAGGGCGAACCAGCTGAGGGGGTCAGGGTTAGTGTGGGGTTATGTGTGGAGGGGAAGGGGGTAAGAGGGGGGAGGTGGGGGGGGTGAGGTGGAAGGGGGGGGCGTAATACATAATTGAGTTGATTGAAGCATCACTTGCTGCCTGCTCGCTCGTTGCCCTGCAGGCGAGGATCGCGATGCAGCTGCCTAGGGCGAACCAGCTGAGGGGGTTCGGGTTTAAGTGGGGATGCAGAGAGGAAAGAGCATGTAGGGGAGAAGGGGTAAGGGAGAGGGGGGAAATGGGGGTGGTTGGGTAGTTGAGTCGGCTCAGAAGAAATGTCTGCCTGCTCGTCCGTCGCCATGCAGGTGAGAATGGCGATGTGGTTGCCTAGAGCGAACCAGCTGAGGGGGTTCGGGTTTAAGTGGGGATGCAGAGAGGAGGGCCTATAAGGTCTATGATCGCTGCTGCCTGCTCTCTCGACACCATGCAGGAAAGAATGGTGGTGATGCTATTTCCTAGAGCGAACCAGCTGAGAGGTTAGGGATGATTCGGGGTTCAGTGTTCAGGGGAAGGGGATGTGGGAGGGAAGGGGGGGGAGAGGGGAAAGGAGGAATATATTTGAAGTACCACTTGCTGCTTGCTCGCTCGTCACCATTCAGGACAGCATGGTGATGCAATTTCCGAGAGCTATCCAGCTGAGGGGGTTAGGGTTAGTTTGGGGCTTAGTGTGCAGGGGAAGGGGGAAAAGGGGGGGGGAGAGTCGGAGGAATATATTCGTGTTAATTGAAATATCACTTGATGCCTGCTCACGCATTCCTGAAAAGGTACACACCCCCCACCCCCCCCCCCCTCCCACACACAGTATGCTGTCAGTAGATGGAGTGCCTGGCCTGGTACCACCAAGCCAGGTAGCTCACCAGAAGTCCATGCGTGCCTGTGATGCATTTCCGATGAAGTATCCGCCCTTGAGAGGCATGCCGTTGAAGAGCCAGTCGGGGATGGAGTCGGGAGTACACATGCCCTCTGCACCCTCTGCACCCTCTGTACCCTACACCATCAAACCAGGCAGCTAGCAGCTCGCAATCCAACTCACCGGAAGTCCATGCGTGCCGGAGACACGTTGCCGATGAAGTACCCGCCCTTGAGCGGCATGAAGTCGAAGAGCCAGTCGGGGATGGAGTCAGGAATGACGTTGAACTTGTTCACCGCCGTGTGCGAGTACTCCTCCGTCTTGTACCGGTAGATGCTGTTCAGCTGCTCGTGATCCAGCCTGGGAAAAACAGGACGGGAGCACAAGGGGAGGGGAAGAGGGCAGGGATGGGGGGGGTTCAGGATTGGGTGTAGATACTCCTTCGTCTTGTACTGGTAGATGCTGTTCAGCTGCTCGTGATCCAGCCTGCATGAGGGAGGGGAGGAGGAACAGAGAGGGGAGGAGGGAGCAGGGGGAGGGGAGGAGGGAGAGGGGAGGAGGGAGAGGGGAGGAGGGAGAGGGGAGGAGGGAGGGTTGGAGTGCAGGGGGTGGTAAACAATGGAGGCATGAAGTCGAAGGGCCAGTCGGGGATGATGTTGAACTTGTTCACTACCGTGTGCGAGTACTCCTCCGTCGGGTACTGGTAGATGCTGTTCAGCTGCTCGTGGTACAGTCTAAGTCAACAAGGATAATGGCAGGAGCATTGCTGGGGGAAGGGGGAAACAACATTGGCATTGGTACACGGTGGTGAGTACTCCTCCGTCTTGTAGCGGCAGATGCTGTTCAGCTGCTCGTGGTCCAGCCTGGAGGGAGGGGAGGGTGGGGAGCAGAGAGAAAAAGTGAGAGCAGGAAGGACAGGGGGAGGGGGAAACAAGGGTGAGTAAGATGAGTACCCCTCCGTCTTGTACCAGTAGATGCTGTTCAGCCTGTTCCGTCTTGTACCAGTAGATGCTGCTCCGTCTTGTTCAATAGATGCAGTAGATGCTGCTCGTGACCCAGCCTGGGAAAAACAGGGCAGGAGTGCTAAGGACCGGGATAGGGCAGAGAGGGGGAGGGGGCAGCGTGGGTTGTAGGATATGGGTGGAAAAGGTAGAGGGTGAATGAATGCCTCTCTGTCAGCTCCTTGTACCGGTAGATGCTGTTCAGCTCCTTGTTCACTGGCAGGTCCGGCCGCAGCGCGTGCCAGAGAGCAGTAGGCAGTGACCAATAAGCAGCAAGAGGGGGAACCCTAAGAGAGTGGAGCAGCGCACGCACCAGAAGTAGGTGCGCATGTGGAAAGAGAGAGCATTGAGCCGCTTGTCAATGCCGTCCAAGAGCTCCTTGTTCACTGGCAGGTCTGGTCGCAGCAGCAGCGTGCCAGAGAACTGAGAGCAGTAAGCAGTAAGCCATGAGAGGGTAACCCTAAAGAAGCCACAGTGCACGCACCAGAAGTAGGTTCTCATGTGGAAAGTGAGGGCGATGAGCCGCTTGTCGATGCGGTCTAGGAGCTCCTTGTTCACTGGCAGGTCTGGTCGCAGCAGCGTGCGCGCCACTCTCAACGCCATGTAGAAGAGAGACTGGATCTCTATGGGGTAGCCGTAGATGCCCTGTAGCGAGGATAAAGAGGAGATGAGCGGGTGGGGGGGGGTTAGGGGAAACGGAAGCTCTTAGATTCATGTAGAAGAGAGATTGGATCTCTATGGGGTAGCCGTAGATGCCCTGTAACAAGGATGAAGAGGAGAGGAGGGGGAATGGGGGGAAAAGCAGAACTTAGCACCAATTATGTGAAAGAAACATAAGCTCTCACGCAGCGCCATGTAGAACAGCGAACGGATCTCTATGGGGTAGCTGTAGATGCCCTGTAACGAGGATGAAGAGGAGAGGAGGGGGAGAGGGAGGGGAAGGGGGGAACGGAAGCTCTTAGTGTCATGTAGAAGACAGATTGGATCTCTATGGGGTAGCCGTAGATGCCCTGTAACGAGGATGAAGAGGAGAGGAGGGGGAATGGGGGGAAAAGCAGAACTTAGCACCAATTATGTAAAAAAAAACATAAGCTCTCACTCAGCGCCATGTAGAACAGCAAACGGATCTCTATGGGGTAGCTGTAGACGCCCTGTAACGAGGATGAAGAGGAGAGGAGGGGGGGAGGGAGGGGAAGGGGGAACGGAAGCTCTTAGTGTGATGTAGAAGCGAGACTGGATCTCTATGCAGTAGCCGTAGATGCCCTGTAACGAGGATAAGGAAGCGAGGAGGGGGAATGCGGCGAAGAGGAATTCTCAGGAATTCTTTTGAGTCGACTCAAAAGTCAATTCTCAGTGTCCAGTGTCTCAGTCAAGTAGAACAATGACTGGACTCTTATGGGGTGGTTGTAGATGCTCTCTCCCCCTTTCCCCCCACCAACCCTCCCCCCTCCCCCCTCCCCCTTCCCCTCTCTCCCCCTCCCTCCCACTCACCATGCGCCTATCGATCATGCAGCACCCATGAGAGCACAGCATTTTTGAGGCGCCTCAAAACTCACCATGCGCCTATCGATCATGCAGCACCCATTGGCGCACAGCAGCGTGGGGAAGGGCAGGAACCTCACCATCTGTCTCCCACCCCCGCCAACCCCTCCGCACCCCACCAACCAACACTCCCGATCCCCTCCAACCCCTGCCTCTCCCCATGCGCCTATCAACCATGCAGCACCCATTGGCGCACAGCACCCCCCTGATCCTCTCTCCCCATCCGCATCACCCCCTGATGTAAGGTTGGGTTTGAGACGTCTCAAAACCACCCTGATCCTCTCTCCCCATCCGAATCACCCCTCCCTCGACTCCCCATCCCGGCTCTCCCATCTCCCTATCCTTCCTCCCCTCCCCTCCCCTCCCCTCCCCTCCCCTCCCCTCTTCCCCGCCCTCTCACCATGCGTCTGTCGATCATGCAGCACCCATCAGCGCACTGCAGCGTGGGGAAGGTGCGGTGGGGAGAGAGGGCAGCTCCGCATCACCCCTCCCTCAACTCCCCATCCCGGCTCTCCCATCTCCATCCTTCCTCCCCCCCCCCTCCCCTCTCTCAACATGCGTCTGTTGACTATACAACACCCATCAGCGCACAGAAGCGTCGGGAATGGAAGCAACCTCACCATCTGCATCTCACCCCCGCAACCCTCACCTCTCTTCCCTGAGGGGAATGCGTCTGTCAATCGTGCAGCACCCGTCAGCGCACAGCAGCGTGGGGAAGGTGTCAAAGCAATCCGCCAGGCAGCAGGAGCACAAGCAGCAGACAGCAACCCTCCCCACCCGCTCCCACTACCCCTCCCCCAACTCACCATGCGCCTATCAATCATGCAGCACCCGTCAGCGCACAGCAGCGTGGGGAAGGTGTCAAAGCCATCCGCCAGGCACAGGTCCAGGATCAGCCGCATGCCCCTCTGACAGTCGGGGGAGTCAGCCAGTGCCTGGTCACCTGGTGGGGAAGGAACGAAAGAACCGGGATGCAAATATAGGTGGGTTCTGGGGTTGCTTGCGTTGAGCTCATTCAAGCAACAAAGAAGGTGTCGTGTCGAAGCCATCCGCCAGGCACAGGTCCAGGATGAAACGCATGCCCCTCTGACAGTCGGGGGAGTCTGCTAGTGCCTGGTCGCCTGGAGGGAAGAGACAGAGAGAAATGGGATGGAAATACAGGTGGGCTCTGAGGATGCTTGCTTTACTCACTCAACAAACAAGGAAGGTGTCAAAGGTCCAGGATCAGCCGCATGCCCCTCTGGCGGTCGGGGGAGTCGGCCAGTGCCTGCCTGGTCGCCTGGTGCAAAAGGGACCAAGGAAAATTGGTATCAGTCACTGCCGAGTCAGCTCAGCGGTCAAAGCCGTCCGTCCGCCAGGCGAAGGTCCAGGATCAGCCGCATGTCCCGCTGGCAGTCGGGGGAGTCTGCCAACGCTTGGTCCCTAGGTGACTTTTGAGTCGACTCAACAGTCACCTATGGTGGTGAAGAGCCGAAGGGTATGGGAGAAGGGAAGAGGGAAGAGAGGTGGGGGAAGTTCGAAGTCAATAACAGCTACTGAGAGTCAGCTCAGGAGTCATAGCCGTCCGCCAGGCACAGGTCCAGGATCAGCCACATGCCCTGCCCCTCTGGCAGTCAGGCGAGTCAGGGTTCACATTCAGAGTCGACGTGAAGAAACCCACCTGTGGGGTCACCTGTTATTTAAAAAACCGACTGTTGCCTCGACCAGTCTCAACCAATCCCACCTGTGGCCTTGAAATAAGCTCTCAGCAGGAAGATCCACCAGAAGCCACTATCCACCAGCCTCCCAATGAAACTCACCCCCCAATGGCTTGTGTGATTTTTGAGGCGCCTCAAAAGTCACCCCAATGGCTTGTGTGATTTCTAAGATACGAACAATGGGAAAGGGTGCTGCCCGCCCACCTGTGGCCTTCACGTAAGCTCGCAAGAGGAAGATCCACCAGAATCCACTGTCCAGCGACGCCACCCACACCTTTGTTGCTCTCCCCAATGTCTGTGTTACGCTGTTACGCCCCAATCATGGTGTCGGTGTTACGCTGTTACTGTCGCAACACTTGCCTGACACCAGTGGAGTGGCCCTGACCCGTACCAGCGTAGCGTACCCACCTGTGGCCTTGACATAAGCTCTCAGCAGGAAGATCCACCAGAAGCCGCTGTCCACAGGCGCTACCCGCCCAATGGCGCTCTCTCCAAAATCCGCGATCATAGTGTCGGTGTTGCGAGCAGGGTCGTGCAGCACCTTGAAGGACGCGGGCATGACTCCCTCTCCTAGGGTAAACACGTCCACGCGTTTCTCCCATGCCTAGGGGGGTAGGGAGGGGAGAGGCAGTGGCAGGGGTGTCAATCTTCCAGCCGGGTCGTGCAGCACCTTGAAGGACGCGGGCATGACTCCTTCGCCTAGGGTAAACACGTCCACCCGCTTCTCCCAGGCCTATAAAAGACGGGGGGAAGGGGGGCAGGATGTGAGGACAGCAGGAGGAGGCGAGGCGTGTCAAGTACTGGCAGTGGTGCCACCCTCCCAGCAGGGTCATGCAGCACCTTGAAGGACGCGTGCCTTATGCCCTCGGCCACTCCCTTCTCCCAGGCCTGATGCGTGTTGTTATTGTTGTTGTAGGTGAGGGGAGACTCAACCAGGGGAAGGAAGGCTCTCTCAGAATGAGCAGAGGTTCTCAGAGGACAAGGAGCAGAGGATTTCGCCCAAGGTCGCTCTCCCCAAAGACTGAGGTCATAGTGTGGCAGTGTTGCATGCATGGTTGTGCGTGCATGCAGCACCTATTACCAGCAACCTCTCCTCTTACCAATAACATCTAACGAGAGGTTGCTGTTCCCGTTAGAAGATAGTGCTCGTCTGTGTCACATGATCTCGGGCTCTAGTGGTTACCTGCAGCCTGAGGGTCTTGAGGAGGAAGTTTTTGACTACAGCTAGCTGTGTGTTCATGAGAAACGAATGAGACGAGCGCGTACATGCAGCGCAAGCGGTTAGCTGCAACCTGAGGGCTTTGAGGAGGAAGTTATCGACTACAGCTAGCTGTGTGAGTAGCTTTGAAACTGATGAGACACTGCAAGAAGCTGCAGTGCAAGTGGTTAACTGCTGAGCTAGTGGTTACCTGCAGCCCGAGGGACTTGAGGAGGAAGTTCTTCACGATGGTGTGCTCCCCGTTGATCAGGGGGGGTGGGGAAGACACTCGAGGAAGGAGTGAGTGGTTTGGTCACCTGCAGCGCTACTAACGGTTACCTGCAGCCTGAGGGTTTTGAGGAGGAAGTTCTCCACGATGGTGTGCTCCCCGTTGATCAGAAACGCCAGCGCACTCGGCACAAAGTCACGCACAAACACCTGGGGGGGGGGGGGGGAGGAAGAGGGAGGGGAGGGATGCGGGGTTGGGAGGGAAGGGGGAAGAGGGGGCGAGCAGAGAGCGGGATGCTGAGAGGTGTGAGAGGGCGGGAACACAGAGAGGGAGAGGGCGGGAACACAGAGAGGGAGAGGGCGGGAACACAGAGAGGGAGAGGGCGGGAACACAGAGAGGGAGAGGGCGGGAACACAGAGAGGGAGAGGGCAGGAACACAGAGAGGGAGAGGGCGGGAACACAGAGAGGGAGAGGGCGGGAACACAGAGAGGGAGAGGGCGGGAACACAGAGAGGGAGAGGGCGGGAACACAGAGAGGGAGAGGGCGGGAACACAGAGAGGGAGAGGGCGGGAACACAGAGAGGGAGAGGGCGGGAACACAGAGAGGGAGAGGGCGGGAACACAGAGAGGGAGAGGGCGGGAACACAGAGAGGGAGAGGGCGGGAACACAGAGAGGGAGAGGGCGGGAACACAGAGAGGGAGAGGGGGAGGTTTCAACGATGGTGTGGTCGCCGTTGATCAGAAACGCCAGCGCACTCGGGACTAAGTCACACACAAACACCTTTTGGGGGGAGGGGGGGAGAAGGGAAGGGAAGAAGGGGCGAGCAGAGAGGGGATGGTGAGAGGGTGAACAGAGAGGGAGTGGGGGAAGTTCCCTCAAAGCTGTGCTCTCCGTTGATCAGAAACGCCAGGGCACTTGGCACAAAGTCACGCACAAACACCTGGGGGGAAAGACGAAGGGGGAGGAGGAGGGTTCGGGGGAGGGTGGGGGAAGAGAAGAGGGGGCGAGCAGAGAGGGAGACGGTGAGAGAGTGAACAGCGAGGGCGTCCCCCACCATCTGGTCCACCATGAACGCCACAGAGCCTTCTCCCTATCACACCTCCAAACCAAACACCCTCCTGGTCATAATTTAATGCCAGACTCTGACTTCTCCCGGAACAGCACCAGGGAGCACCGGAGCACGTCCCAGGCGTTCCCCACCATCTGGTCCACTCCTTCCACCTCTACCTCCCCTCTACCCCCCCCCTTTCCCCTCGTACACAACCAACCTGGTCATAGTTAAGGGCCGACTCTGTGTTGTCCATAGCAGCGATGGTGCCCACGGGCTTCCCCCGAAACAGCACCAGGGAGCGCCGGAGCACACCCCAGGCGTCCCCCACCATCTGATCCTCATCTTCCACATCTACTCCCCCTCTCCTCCCCCTCGTTTTGAGGCGCCTCAAAACTACTCCCCCTTTCCTCCCCCTCGCAACCCACCATCTGGTCCACCATGAACGCCGCAGAGCCCCCCCCCCCCCCCCCGCCCCCCACACACTCCTCCAGATACCCACCTGGTCATAGTTAAGGGCCGACTCTGTGTTGTCCATCGCCGCAATGGTCCCCACAGGCTTGCCTCGGAAGAGCACCAGAGAGTGCCGGAGCACGTCCCAGGCGTCCCCCACCATCTGGTCCACCATGAACGCCGCTGATCCGCGCGCCGACCCCATCGGGGTGGTCAGGCCGGAGCGGATGGTCAGGCTGGGGGCATTGGGCAGGGAGGGGGTATCGAAACACGGGAGGGAGGGAGGGGTGACGGATGAGAGGCCGGACGGATGGTCAGACTGGGGGCATTGGAAGGGAGAGACGGGAAGGGAGGAGAGACGGGATGGTCAGAGGTCTCAGCTGATATGATCTTCTCTAAACAGAACAGGCTGGGGGCATTGGGCGGGGAGGGGGTATTAAAACACGGGAGGGAGGGAGGGGTGACGGATGAGAGGCCGGACGGATGGTCACAGGAAACGGTATGGTATGGACAAGAGGGGTGGGGGACAAGGGGTTGAAACGGTATGGGGCTGAAGGATGGAACGACCGGGGGGAGGGAACAGGCAGGAGAATGTGCAGGCAAGAGAGCAGAGTGAGAGAGAGATTATGCATGCATGCAAGAGTGTACAGTTAAGCGTGTGAAGGCAAGTGAGGGAGCAAGGGAAGGGAGGGATACAGGCGGTGGTACCTGGGGGAGTAGTGGCGGGGAGAGTGGGCTGCAGACCGAACGCTGCCACACAGGGGAAGAGACACAGACAAGTGCAAAAAAAGGAGACGGTGGGGTTGGGGTGGGTGGGGGGGTGGGTGGGGAGTGGGTGGGGAGTGGGTGAGGAGTGAGTGAGGAGTGAGTGGGGGAAGGGAGGGGAATGGAGTGGCAGATATGTGAGAAATAGGGAAGTATGAGGCTGCTTAGGTGGGTGGGTGTGTCCACCAAGTGAGACGTTTTTGTGTGCTCAGAGCAGCTCTGCCCTCCAGAGTACAGGCTTTTCTACAAGCTCTTCCCGTTCTATGTGTTGCGAGCACAGAAACTAGGGAGCTTGGGAATTGGCATGTATGAGGGAGAAGAAAGAGAGAGGGAGAAGGGAGGAGCGAAGATACTGGCTTACTTTGGTGTGTGGTGGTGCCGAGGGGAGTTGGTTGCAGATCGAGCACTGAAAGGAAGGAGGGGGGGGGGGGGGTGTGTGTGGGGGGAGCGGGGGAGAGAGAGTGTGTGTGTAAGGATGGGGAGGGGGGGGGTATGTGCGAAGAGAGAGAGGGGGATGGGGAATCAACAAGTGGGGGGAACATTGAAGGGCATTCAGAATGCGATCAATGCAGCATGGCACGGAAGCTGCTGCTGCGTGTCACAAGAGAGAACGAAATGGCACGGCGTGGCACGGAATGGCACAGAGCACATTATACATAGAGCATGGATGGAGCATAGCCCCAGCATGGATGCAAGAATGCCATACGTGGGCGTCAGCACCACAGGCTCCATGTCATCCGCGCTGCTCTGGGCGGGCGCATTCCGCCCATCCGCCCCCGCCCCGTCCCCCTTCTCCTCCCCCTCCCCCTTCCCCCTGCCCTTCCCCCGCCCCCCTCCCCCCCCCTTCCCGCTGGTGGTCGCATGCCCCTCGCGGTCCACCTCCCATGTGCTCATTCGCGGCTGAGAAGCGGAAGTGGGGGGAGGGGGGAGGGGGGAGGAGCAAGAGGGGGGAGGGACGGGGCAAGAGGGGGGGCGAGAGGAGGGGGGGGGTTGGGTGGATAGGGATGGATATGGTGGCCGTGTCCCCCTCGCGGTCCAGCTCCCATGCGCTCAGGCGCGGCTGACACAGCGGGGAAGAAGGGGGGGGGACGGGGAGAGAGGGGGCGTGAGAGGGGAAGGGGGGAGGGGAGGATGGAGCAAGAAGGGGGTTGAGAGGGAAAGGGGGGGGGGTGGATAGGGATTCAAATGGTGGCCGTGTCCCCCTCGTGGTCCAACTCCCATGCGCTCAAGCGCGGCTGAGACGAGGGAGCAGGGAAGCGGAGGGGAAGCAGGGGGGAAGCGGGGGGGAAGCGGGGGGGAAGCGGGGGGGAAGGGGGGAAAGTAGGGGAGAGAGGGGCTCCCGGGGGAAGGAAGGGGGAGGGGAGGATGGGGGGGAGGGGGGGGGGAGAAGTCGAAAGATAGAGCGGAAATGAAAAGGAAATGTCAGGCAAAGACTCATCAGAACTGCTCAAAACGAGAGGCGAGAGTGGAATGCTGGACTGACATATTCCGTTTGGTTTTTTTTTTTTTTTCCCTCTCTTTCTCTCATTCGACACCTCTCGCACCTGGTTCAAGCTGACCGACAGTTTCTTCATCCGCAGCCTCAGCAGCCCGCCGTACATCTTATCCTCCTCTTCCTCCTCGTCCGTCGCTCCACCCTTATCCCTCTCCGCCTCCCCCGACTGCTGATGGTCCTGCTGTCCCTGCTGCTTCGGAGACATCTTCCCCCCGCCGTTCTCCGCCGCCTCCGCGCCCGCCGCGGTTCCCTCCGCCGCGCTTTTCCGCTCATCTGATTCCCCCGAGAGGCGGATCTCCCACGGCCGCCCCCCCGCATTCGCCAGCCGTGCCGCTGCCTCCTCCGCTTCTGCGATCTTCCCCATGCCGTTGCCGCGCGCTTCCGTGCTCATGCCGGGCACGGCGGAAGGAGACACGCGGGGAGACGCGGGGGGACGAGGAGGTCAGTCGCTTTGGACAGTAATGTATGCTGGATGCGAGAGGACTGCGTGATTCTGGCGAATTTCGGGCCCTCCAGGCGCCAGCAGGATGGTCAGGCACGTGACACGAACGGCTATTTCCGCGAATAAATACGCGAGGGAAACTACGGGATGGAAATCTTGGCGCCGTGGTTAGTGGCACAAGAAGAGCGTGCTTCTTTGATTGACAAGGGAAAGACCAGAGGGGAGAACAGAGCTGACTCGCCGCGCGAATCTGTTCTGCGACGTGGCTGCTGCGATTTGCCCAAGGTCCAAGCTCCTTACAGCCCTGAAGCCGTAAATCAGCAGCGCAAGCTAAGCCCGGAGTCAGAGTCTGGAGGAGATTTGAGGTGCTAAGCCAAGCACGCAGCAAAAATGGTCGTTTTTTGCCTAGATTCTACCGATTACCTGAATTCCTGAATCCTGGAGCCTGAAATCTGTTACAGCAGATGTGTCAGAAGGCCATCACCTTGAAATAGGCTTGATCTGATGGTCCGTGAAGGAGGTTTAGGGCGTGTTTTTACAAAACACAAAATGATGAATCTAACCAATCAAGGTATTGTAATCCTCGCTTAAAAAAGGTACGCTAAGTTAAAACAAACCATTTTGGAATGATAAATGCGTCCTCAGGGCGATGTGAATTCTGGAGGTCTCGAGAACAGGTCCTAGTGTAGCCATCATCCACGAATCACGCTTCCTGAAATTTCGCGAACTCGGCCCAGGGAAACATCACTGTTCACCCCGAGGCTCGGCTTGGCGTCTGGAACAAACGCATGGCTGTGCATGTAACGAGGACATTTTGTCGGGTGATGTAGCTGCCTCTATTATCGGGTACAAAATGCCGAGTTTTGGTTCGCTAGCCGTCATTCTCCAGGTCCATACAGAAGCCGACCAGGGGCCATCAGGCGGGGGCCTGCTGGTTCGTTTGGAAAATTTGAGCTGATGGACGGCGAGCCGGGTGGCGCCTTATGATTGGCCTGGCGACGTTCCGACCGAACCAAGATCATCGGACAGCCAGCCGAGAGGAGGTGACCGACATTTCGGCCAGCAGTCGTCGCTCTTGCGAGTGTCGTTGACGCGACGCTTTCTGGTCGGGTAACTCCTCGAACGACAATGGCGACGGGACGCGAACGTAAACCGCAAAAAAAAGTGTTACGAACAGCCTTTCTTTCACGGCTATCTCTTCACTTCGCATTATCATTCAGCTTATGGAGGGCTCCGTTATCGGCGATCGTGAGCTTATCTCATCCCGCTGTAAAGGGCTTTGATAAACAAGCTCGCTAATCTTCCACTCTCCTGCTTATCAGCTTCACTCACTCACTCCCCTCCCCTCACCTACACGCTAAGCCTGATAGGACAAACCAGACTATGGTTGTACCGTATTGCTTTCTAAGTACTGTAGTTGACCAGGAGTATTCGTCTGTCCTTCTCGCCCAAATCCCTTTTTGCACTATGTCCTCCGCACGGCTGTAGTGCTCGTAGGCGTTTTATGTTCGCCAGCTTGCGATCTTAGCAACTGATGGCTGGTTTTTTTTCCGGGGGTATTTGGATGGGGAAAGGTAGGAGTGAGGGGGGCTCGGCGCGCGTGAAAGGCGCCCCAGGGCTGTTCGTAGAGGAAACCGGCTACTGCGAATCAACCAGCGCCGCGTGAAACACAGCGCGTGGAGTTAGCAGGTCTCTTGTTAGGGAATTATACTAGTTTTCCTGGATGCGATAAACAGCGCGTCTCAGGGGAGACGTTATAGCTCACTTGAAAGCACACGTGAGAGGCGTGCAAGAGCCGGCGCGCAAGGGGCGCATATCTGCAGGGTGGCAAGCGCATCAGGCGCATGAGCGGCGGAGCACTCGCAGCGGCATGAGACGCGCGGAGCGCGCCAATTGCGCACTGCGTGATCTGCGACGGCGCAGCAGGGCAGTCGAAACGGCGAGAGAAGGGAGTTGAACGTCCCTTAGCAGTGCAATGAGCGGCCGTGCTCCGTCTCCTGTCCTCCTGACCGCTCTCCTCCTCCTCCTCCTCCTCATGTGCCCGTCGCCGTGCGCCCCTGGCACCATCGACAAGGTAAGCCAGACAGACAGGAGAGAAGGGGGGGGGGGGGAGGGGGGTCATGTGGGGGAAGACACCTAGTTCCCTCTTATCAGTGCCCGAGAGCAAGCAGCGCAATGAGCGGCCGTGCTCCGTCTCCTGTCCTCCTGAACCTTCTGCTCCTCCTCCTCCTCCTCATGTGCCCGTCGCCGTGCTCCTCAGGCACCATCGACAAGGTAAGCCAGACAGACGGGGGGGGTGGGGGGGGGGGGGTGGGCGGGGAGTGGGGGCATTTAGGGGCAAGACACATTGATCACTCTTGGCAGTGCAATGAGCGGCGGTGCCGCTTTGCTCCCTGCCCGTTTGACCCATCTGATCCTCCTCATGTGCCGGGGGGGGTGGGGGGGGGAGCACGGGTGGGGAATGGGGCCCACATGAGCATAGGGGTGCACTTGCTGCCGCCTCTGCTGCCGCCTCTGCTCCTTCTGCTTTTGCCGCTGTTGTGCTATGAACTGCTAAGTCAAGCCCTGTGTTGCCTATGTGTGTGTGGGTGCGTGTGTGAGTGTTGTGCATGTGCATGCATTGCTTGCTCGCGCAAACATGGCGGCGAACCCCTAACATGGCGCAAACATGCGGTTCTGGCTCTGCCTCCGCTTCTCTCAGTTCAGTCGCATCGCCAAGTGAGTGCACCTCCTCTCCCTTCCTTCTGTCGATCAAGTGGGTTTAGGTGTGGTTCTGGGTGTGGGTGGGGGTGGGGGTAGGGGTGGGGGTGGGGGTGGGGTGGGGGTGGGGGTGTATGGTGTGGGTGTGGTTCTGGGTGTGGGTGTGGGTGTGGGTGTGGGTGGGGGTGGGGGTTGGGGTGTGTGTGTGTGGGTGTGGGTGGGTGGGTGGTTGGGTGGGTGGATGGGTGGGTGTATGCTCACTGGAAACTGGCATCCACCCACCCACCCACTCACCCTCCACCCTGTGACCAGTGTTCCACACTTCAGCATCCAGTGTCCTGTATTTATTACATGTCCGTGCGCCCCTCTCTTGTCCCTCTTATCTGTTTCTGTTCCTCTTGTGCGTCCTCTTATTCATTGCTCTGTATCTCCCCTTCCACCTCCACCAGGCATCCTGACCTCCATGTACCAGCCAGACGTGCCCCCTCCTCACAAGCTGCTGAGTCAGCAGCACCTGCCGCTGACTCACCGCAGCAGCCCGCGTCTCAGTCAGAAACAAGACGACCTGAGTCAGCAACCACTGCTGTACAGGAATCGTCTCAGCAACCACCACTCTCTAATCCCACCCATCCCACCCGTCCCTCTGAAACCGCCGTTGCTGACAATTCCGATAGTGCTGCAACCACTGCTGCTGATACTGCTACAGCCACTGCTTTCCAGGAGTCTTCTCACCAACCACCACTCTCTAGTCCCACCCATCCCACCCAGCCCTCCCATCCCTCTGAAACCACCGTTATGGACAGTAATGCTCTAAGTACTGACACTGCTGCAACCTTTGATGTCAAGGAATCGTCTCTGCAACAGTCATTGCTCCTCAATGCCACCCATCCCTCCGAAACCTCTTCTGTTGGCAATGCTTCTACTAGCGATGCTGCTGCGACTGCCGATGCTGTTCCAATGACCGATGCTGCTACAACCGGAGATGTTGCTACAGCCGGTGCTGGCAATGCTGCAAATACTGATACTGCTACAGCCAACGACAATGATGCTACAACCGCTGATGATGCTACAGCCACCGCTGACAATGCGCCAACTACTGATACTGCTGCAACCAACAGCGATGCAGCAACCACCGATGCTGCAACCACCGATGCTGCAACCACCGATGCTGCTACAACCGATGCCGCTACAACCGTTGATGCTCTTCCAACTGCCGATGCTGCCATAGCCAGGGATGCTGCTACAACCACTGATGCTGCTATAATGACCGATGGTGCTACATCTACTGGTGACAGTGCTGCTACAACCACTACTGACAGTGCTCCAACATCTCCTGCTGCTACAGCCGCTGATGCAAATACAACCACTACTGACAGTGCTCCAACATCTCCTGCTGCTACAGCCGCTGATGCTGCTACAACCACTACTGTCAGTGCTCCAACTTCTAATGCTGTTACAACCACAGATGCTGCTACAGCCACTGCTGCTGACAGTGCTCCAACTTTAAGTGCTGCTACAACCGATGGCTCTGCTACAACCGCAGATGTTGCTACAGCCACTGATGCTGCTACAACCGAACCTTCCCCATCCCCCTCACACTCCCCCTCTCCCCCCCCATCCCCCCTCCTCTCCCACCTCCTCCTCCTCCGCCAATCCCTCGACCTCCTCTCCTCTGATTGGATGAGAGATACCGTGCGGGCGGCAGGGGGGAGGGTGGGGAGGAGGAGGAGAGGGGTTGAGGGTAGAGTGGGGGGGGGGGAGGAGGGGGTGGGCGTGGCAGGAGGATTGAGGGTTGTGGAGAAGGGGAGAGGCAGAGGGGATAGGGAGCATCCTATGGCAGTTATTCTTGACGTGGTTAATGAGGTATGTGCTCTGTATGTGTTATAAGGGAGCTTCTTTATATGGTGTACATTGTGCAATGACATGCCTTGGCTTTGCCTTCGCATTTCAGCTTCTCAATCATGAGACCCGTTATAGGTGCCCTTGCTACACTCTCCCTTTGTCCAATCCAACCCAATCCTCGATCCCCTTTGACCAATCCAATCCAATCCTCAATCCCCTTTGACCAATCCAATCCAATCCTCGATCCCCTTTGTCCAATCCAATCCAATCCTCGATCCCCTTTGACCAATCCAATCCAATCCTCGATCCCCTTTGTCCAATCCAATCCAATCCTCGATCCCCTTTGACCAATCCAATCCAATCCTCGATCCCCTTTGACCAATCCAATCCAATCCTCGATCCCCTTTGTCCAATCCAATCCAATCCTCGATCCCCTTTGACCAATCCAATCCAATCCTCGATCCCCTTTGACCAATCCAATCCAATCCTCGATCCCCTTTGTCTACACCCATTGACGAACAAACCTCCTGCCCCTCTCTCCCCCCCCAACCACCCCCCCCCCCCCATTATATCTGTTACTTCCCCCTCGTCCCTTCCAGGAAGTTTCCCTCCGCACCCCAACCATCTTTGTCAGTGGTTCTCTCCCCCGCCACCTTCCCCATTCTGCCTGGGCGGAAGCTGGGGGGAGGATGCGCGCATGGGGGGAGGGCAGGGGGGCGCAGGGGAAGCAGCACGGGGTGATTGGAGGACTGGGCGTGGGGGGAGAGGCGGTGGGGGGAGCGGGTGGTGGGGAATTTGAGGGGGGAGGAGGAGCAGGAGGAGCAGGAGGAACGGGAGCAGCAGGAGCAGAAGGAGCAGAGGGAGCAGAAGGAGGAAGAGGAGGAGGAAGAGGAGGAGGAAGAGGAGGAGAAGCAGGGGGGAGGTGGAGGGGTGGGTGGAGGGAGGGTGTATGGCGGCGCATGCCCAAGGGAACCAAGGAAGCCGCAGGGCGATGCATGGCACTGCTAGTGGAACACGACAGAGCCACTCACATGTACTCTGAAGCCCTACAACTGCACCTACAGCACTCCATTTTTCCCCTGAAAAGCGCGAACCCGGGTCAAGAACCGCCTTCCCTGGACCCCCCACAGTCACCAACCGACCCACCTACCAACCCACCAACTACCTACTCACCGACCAACCCACTTTCCCCCTCCTCTTTTCCTCCCGCTTCATATTCCGTCTCTTCGTCTTCCTCCTCTCCAGATTCCTCCTCTTCCTCCTCCTCTTCCTCCTCCTCTTCCTCCTCCTCTTCCTCCTCCTCTTCCTCCCCCCCACCTCCCCGGCACGTGCGCTTACAGCACTGGCTGAACCACTTGCGCTACTCCCTCTCCTCCCCTCCCTGCAGTATGCCGCTCCCCGGGCTGCTGCTCACCCCACGGGAGAGGGCAGAGGAGGCTCTTAAGAGGTGGGAGGAGGGGAGTGGGAGAGAGAGGCGAGGTGACGACAAGGCCAAGGGTGGATACAGCAGTAGTGGGAGTGGGAGAGGAAGTGGGAGTGGGAGTGGGAGTGGGAGTCGGAGTGGGAGTGGGAGTGGGAGTGGGAGTGGGAGTGGGAGTGGGAGTGGGAGTGGGAGTGGGAATGGGAGTGGGAGTGGGAGTGGGAGTGGGAGTGGGAGTGTTCGGAGCAGCAAGAGGGGAGGAAACAACCCTAACAAAGCCCAGCCAGACAAGCCTAACAGCAGCAGCAGCAGCAGCAGTACCAGCACCACCGCCACCACCAGCGGCAGCAGCTGGTGGTGCAGTGGGCAGGAGACCGGCAGGGCAGCGCGCACCTGCATGGGTTTCAGAGCCCCTTCCCCCCTCGCCCGGCTCTCCCCCCGCCTCTTCCCCTCCTCCCCCCCCGCCGTCTCCTTCCTCCTGCAGTATTTCCGCCAGCCAGGCATGATCGGTACACTAGTGGAGCGGCCTAGGGAGTGTGCTAAGGCGGATGTGGGGCTATGGGCGGAGGGAGGGGGGGTTGGAGAGAGAGAGGGGAACGGAGGGGTGGAAAAAGGTGGCAAGGAGAGGGGATCAGATCAGCAAGGGGGGGAGCAAGGGGATGGGAGAGGAGGGGGGGAGGGGGGGTATTACCCTGTGGTTGAGATGATTGTGAATGTGGATGAGCCCAGTGCATGGAGGGAGTGGAAGGAGCAATGGTGTGCCACTGCTCCTTGTTCCCCCCAAACACAAACTGGTGCTGATGGCAGTAGCAACAGCGACAGCAGCAGCAGCAGCAGTAGCAGCATTGACAGCTTTAACAACGGCCGTTTCCTCCGCGTGGTATTCAACCATAACACCCACGAAATAAGAGGGTACAACATGGGCGCCCGCACGGCACGCGGCACCACCATAGCCCTCCTCCAAGACGACGACCTCTTACCCTCCGACTGCCGTTGGATCTGGCGGATCCTACGGCTGATGCAGCAGCGGCCGGCGGTAGCAGCAGTCGGCTACCGCACAGGTAGAATCGACTTGAACGGGCCGTTATGGGGAAACGTGAACTCCTGGTACCGGCAGCCGTATGAGCCGTGGTCTCACCCGAGTGTAGACAGGAGGAGTGGCATGAGGAGCTATTTTTCCGGGGTGCTGGATTTTGCTCCGTTTGTTATGAGGAGAGAGAAGTTTCTGCTGTTGGGGGGGCTGGATGAGGGGGAGGCAGTGAGGGGGCAGAGTGCGATCATGGCTGACTGGCAGATGACGTTCCGGGCGTGGTTCGCAGGGATGCAGGTGGGTTTGCAGGGTTGCAGGTGGGTTTGCAGGGATGCAGGTGGGTTCGCAGGGATGCAGGTGGGATGCAGGTGGGTTCACAGGGATGCAGGTGGGTTTGCAGGGCTGCAGGTGGGTTTGGAGGCTTGCTGGAGGTTTTGCAGGGATGCAAGTAGGTTTTGCAGGGTTGCTTGCAGGTGGGTTTTCCAGCTTACAGGTAGATTTTCAGATCGTTTCATCTAGATTTTTCACCCATCCTTTCCACTCATTTCCTCCTGTGCTTCTGCTCCTCTTGACTTGTCTGGATTAGAGTCTGCATTTCTGGGTGTGGAGAAAAATGATACATGTGTGCATGCATGTGTGTGTGTACATGCATAATTGTGTGCATGCGTGTGAATGTGCATACATGTTCGGGCGCATGCATGTGCGGGTGCATGGATGTGTGTGTGTGTGTGAATGTGTTTGTACAGGCAAGCGAATGTGTGCCTCTCCATGCACACCCATGCACACCCATGTACACCCATGCACACCCATGCACACCCATGCATACCCATGCACACCCATGTACATCCATGCACACCCATGCACACCCATGTACACCCATGCACACCCATGCACACCCATGTACATCCATGCACACCCATGAACACCCATGTACACCCATGCACACCCATGCACACCCATGCACACCCATGCACACCCATGCACATCATACACCCCAGCAGCTTATGCACATAAAGTGGCCGCCCGATCTACCTGTCATGCCCGGCGCCGAGGGCGGCACGCACACGGGCACGCATGTAACTTTGCAGGCTGTTTGCTGCACGTCTTTTCACAATTTTTTTTTTCTCTCTCCATACTAAACATCCCACCCATCAGCTCATGCACATGAGTGGCCGCCAGATCTACCAGTCACGCCCGGCGCCGAGGGCAGGCAGCACGCAGGTGGGCTTGCCGGTCAATTGCTGCACTGCACGCCTCCTTACAGATTTTCCTTTTCTCCCTTCACACCGTACACCCCCCATCCATCAGCTCATGCACATGAAGTGGCCGCCTGACCTACCAGTCACGCCCGGTGCAGAGGGCGGCACGCACACCGGCATCAGCTACAGCTACCGCATAATGTACCAGGACATCAACTTCCGCAAGCTCATAGATAATTACGTCAACCGGATAAATGAGTTTCAACAGGCAGAGGTCAGGCGGCTGAACCGAGTGCTCCAGACAATAGACCCCTGGGAGTGAAAGCAGGTGATGGCCAAGGGGGCATCAGCTACCGCCACTGCATGATGTACCAGGACATCGGTCAAATAAGGCAGTACAAGTACAACACAGCAACACACACATGGGCATGGGCTACAGCTGCCGTGTCCTGTACCAGGACATCAATTTCTGCAAGCTCATAGAGAATTATGTAGATCGCATTGACGCGTAGCACCAGGCAGGGAGCAGGCGGCTGAGCCGAGCTGTGGGAGCGAAAGTAGGGTTAGGGTTCAGTAGGAGGGGTGCTGGTGTATGCTAACAGACTGTAGCTATGTGCGTCACGTGTAGTAGTAGTTGCCTCCAGGGCCTACTTTTGGATTTTTACTACTCTGAAATCAGGGAGTGGCTTTTTTCATTACTCCGAAAATCAGAGTGCCCCCCAATGGTTTCTCTGATTTTCCTGGGGTTTTTTTTATTTCTAAAAAAATTACACTGACAATGCAGAGGGGTTTTTGTAGCAACTCCCTGCAGCAAGGTCATCTTATCAGAAATTAGAATTGAATAATCGTAATGTGAGAGTACACACAAATATATCTAAGTTTTGTATCCTCTAAGAGGTGACTCTATACAGTCTATACAAACATGACAAATACACATGTTTGACACACCCCCTAGACTGCATAGGGGAATACCCTAAACAAGCAGCTCAGGGCGGCACTACTAGTCCAACCTCTGAGGCAAGGGTCTGAGCGACCGGTCAGAAGGAGTACAGACAAGGCAAGCACAAGAGCAGGGCGGCACTACTAGTCCAGCCACTGGGAGAGGACACAAGTCCAGTCTGAGTATACATATAAAGGACAGTACAAAGTCAAGGTCCTAGCAAGTGAGAGGCTACAGGAACTAGACCAAGCTGTACACAGTGCCGCTGATGATCTTTAGGCGCAAGCGCCTTCGTAAAGATATCAGCCGTGTTGGCACCTGAGGCCAAGTGTACTACGCGAGCCTGACGTCGCTGCTGTAGCTCACGCAGGAGGAAGTACCGCAGCTGAATGTGCTTCGCTCTGCCCTCGAGTCGAGGCTCCTGACACAGGAGGATCATGGCCCTGTTGTCAGCGAACAGGACCGGGGCAGAGCTAGGCCGCTCACCTAAGTCAGTGAGCAAGAAGGTCAGCCAGCGGAGCTCCTGTGCCGCCATGGCACCGGCGTAGATCTCAGCCTCACAGCTGGACTGTGCAACAGACGAGGAGCGAGTAGCTCTCCACGAGACGGCACCTGAGCCAAGGCTGAAGCAGTAGCCCTCGGTAGACCGGAGTGTCTCAGCGTCGTCTGCCCACGAAGCGTCTGTGTGCCCAGTAAGGACCGCTGGACTGCGTCCTCCTAGCACTAACCCCATGCCCGATGTACTAGCAAGATAACGCAGAACCCTCTTAGCGGCAGACCAGTGCTGCGGTCGGTGTCTGCCTGTGGCCACAAAGCGAGCCAGGATGCTGAGAGGGTATGCGAGATCTGGGCGAGTGCAAGTCATCAGGTACATGAGGCAACCCACCAGCTCTGCGTAGGGGCCGCTGGGCTCTACCAACTCCTCAGGCACTGGAGCGGAGAGCCTGTGGTCTACAGGCAGAGGGGTGGGCTGTGCAGAGGAGAACTGAAGGCTGAACCTCTGAAGGACCTGGCGCACCAAGTGTGACTGAGTCAGGGTGATGGTGCGCGCAGCTCTGTCCCTGGAGATCTGCAAGCCAAGGTAACGGCGCAGTTCTCCAAGGTCAGTGCAGGTGTGTCTCTTCGGCAGCTCTGCCTTCACGGAGGCCAGTGCGTCCCTGTCTGCTGTGGCAAAGACCAGGTCGTCGACGTAAACGAGGATGTAGAACGGAGTCTGGCCAGCACGAACGAAGAGTGAAGGGTCTGCAGAAGACGGAAAGAACTGCAGGTCAGCAAGCGTAGTACGCAGAGTGTCGTGCCACTCACGGGGAGCCTGGCGCAGGCCATAGACGGGGCACCGCATGAGCCACTGGGTCCCAGGAGGGAAGGTGCCAGTAAAGCCCGGAGGGCGGCGCAGGTAGACCTGCTCGTGTAGGCTGCCCTGAAGGAAGGCAGTGGAGAAGTCGAGGGAGTGAAGCTCGTAGTCACGCTGAGCAGCTAGGTGTAACAGAACCCGAAGAGTAGTCATCTTCGGGGTCGGAGCGAAAGTCTGGAAGAAGTCCACCCCCTCGCGCTGACTGAAGCCTCTAGCCACATAGCGCGCCTTGAAGACAGGCGGCTCTCCAGGAGGGCGCTTCACCTTGAAAAGCCAGCGGCCATCGACTACGTTCACCCCAGGTGGGGGAACTGCGTCGACGAAGGTGCCGGTGGATCTCCAAGATGCCATCTCCTGCTCCATGGCAGCTATCCATTGCGAGGCCCAGGGTCCCGAAGTCGCCTCAGCGTAAGTGCGAGGGGTCGGGATGTCGAAAGCGTCTGGGTCACCCTCAGGGACTAGCAGCATGGAACAGAGATGGGGAGCAGCCTCGGAGAGGAAAGCAAGCTCGAACTGGCGGTCCTCCAGGACGTCACTGCCAAGGGCAGGAGCACCCCCGACAGACGGAGGATAGGCAGGGTCAGAGACCAGAGCGGTGGCGTAGTCAAGGCGGCGGGTAGAGGCGAAGTCAGCGACAGCAGCGACAAGAGCGGCAAGGCACGAGACGGGAACAGACGGGTCGGTAACGAGAGAGGCAAGGACCCGAGGAACGAGAGGACGAGCGGCACGAAGGTAGTCGGACAGCGGGGGGGGCGCAACAACAAGGGAGGACGGAGGAGGCGACGACAGAAGGGGAGGACGAGACTCGTGTGAACGAAGCAACATAGGGTGGGAGCGCAGGACAGGCGAGGCAGGACGAGCACGGGAGGGACGGTGAGACCAGACGTGCGATGGAGGAGTCGGGTCAGGAGACAGGGGAGGGGACACAGGAGGGGAACGAGGGGGGAGACGGGCCGGGGACGAGTCCGGCGGAGGGAAAACAGGGCCGTAGACAGGAAGAGGAGGAGACGGTCGGGGAGGAACCGACGCAGGGTCGGGGGACGGAAGGCCGAGCAGGCGAAGGGCGGACACCGGCGGGGACTGCTGCTGCGGCGGCACAACGGCGACACCTGGACCGCAAGCTGCTCCTCGGCTACCACCGGCACTCTCCACACCCGCACCCCCAGAGGGACCACCCTCAGGGCGACCGGGACGAGCACCCCCAGAGTCAGCGAACGGGGGCTGCGACGACGGCGGCGGCAGCGGCGGCGGCGACGGCGACGGCTGCAGCGGCGGCAGGGGCGCCGGAGGAGGGGACTGGGGAGGGGACACCTGGGGAGGGGCGGCTGGCGAGGACTGCACCGGAGGGCCACCAGAGTCAGAAGACTCCTCAACCGGGTCCACGGACGGAAGGGGGGTGACGTGGGAGACACCAGAGGGGGCGGGACGGGGAGGAGGAGGAGGAGGGGCAGGGACTACCGGGGAAGGGGTGACCAGGAACAGGGGGGGGGTAACCGGGGGACCACGGTGGGGGAAGCGGCGGTAGTAGGAGACTGACTCGTCAAAGGTGACGTCACGAGAGTGAAAGAAGCGGTGAGACGGCGGGTGGTAAAAGTGCCAGTCGGACGCGTCAAGGGGAAAACCGAGGAAGACGCAGGGAAGGGTGCGGGCAGTGAGCTTGTCCGTGCCGGAGGCACGGACGTGAGCAAGGCAGCCCCAGACGTGGAACGCAGACGCGTCACCAGGAGACCCAGTCCAAAGACGGGTCGGCGAAACCTGCGGCTGCTGAGGGTGCGGCCACAGGTTAAGCTGGTGAGAAGCGTAGCGCACAGCGAACGGCCACAGAAAATGGGGTGCACCGGCATGGACCATGGAGGTGCGAGCGACCTCCATGACCAAACCGATGCGTCGCTCAGCGACCCCATTCTGCTGTGGGGAGTCCGGTAGGGTGAACGTCTGGGTGATGCCCTCCGCACGACAAAAGCGACCAAGGACACCTGAGGCAAACTCGCCACCACGGTCTGAGTGAAGACGCAAGACAGGGAGACCGCGGTGGACACGCGCAGAGACAAGCCAGGGGATGAGAGCGCCAGGCACGTCGGCCTTGCGCTCCAGGGGAAAGACTGTGGTGTAACGAGTGAAGTCGTCGACAAGCACAAGGAAGTAGCGCTCGCGACGCGGCCCAGGGACGGGGGCGGGGCCCCAGACGTCCAGGTGCAGGGTCTGCAGCGGCGCGGCGGTAGGGGGGAACGAGGAGGAGTGAGGGGCACGGCGAAGCCGACCCTCGACACAAGGCGTGCAAGGTGGAGCTGGGGAGGAGGGAAACGCGGGGAGTGAACCTGGGAGACCAAGGACAAGACCGTGCTGGGACATGTGACGCAGATGCGGGAGCGCAGGGTGACCTAGGCGGTGGTGCCACAGGAGGGTCGGGTGAGTGAGGGGGCGACAGGAGCAGGCAGCAGCAACCTGGGTAGACACAGCCACCTGAGGGGGTGCTCCAGCCGGGGGGGGCACGGTGTCCAGAGTGAACAGGCCGGACACCGGGTCCCGGGGGAACGTGGACAGGGGGGCACCAGTGGCGGCCTCGGTACAGACAGCATACCGCTCGTGACCAGGGAACGTAGTGGTGACGCCAAGGTCCTGGAGGCAGCCGACACCAACTAGGTTCCTGGAGAACGAGGGGATATGCAGACCTGTAAGAGAGCCCGAAGGAACCGCCGGACAGGGAAGGGTGGTGGAACTGCGGGCGACTACCGGACCGCCGGAGGGGTCAGCAAGAGAAACGGCAGCAGGAACAGGAAGCGGCGTCAGGGTGGTGGATTCGCGGAAGAAACACCGAGAGGCGCCAGAGTCCAAGGTGAAGGAAAGCGAAGCCGAGGGGTCTGGCGACGGAACGACGGCAGAAGCACCAAGACTACACAAAGCAGGGGATCCTACGCCTGACGCAGCAGGGGAGGCTAAGCTAGGCACACCTACACTAGGCAACAGTGAGTAATAAGTCGGAAGCACACTAGAGTCATCAGCATACATCACATGCAGAGCAGAAAGAATGGCATCCATGTCCATATCAAAGATCTGAATCTGACGACTAAGCAAACTGTGCCAGTCCGGGAGGTCTGGCGACGGGCCGAAACGCTGACGAAAGAGGTCGTCCAGGCGACGAAAGCAGCGGGGAGTGGAGTGACCGATCTTACCGCAAACGAAGCCGCGGCGAGGACCGGTCTGGATCTGGTACTGACAACGCCCGCCGGCAGAGCCACCACGCGGCACACCACCCCGCGCCCGTCCACCGCCAGCGCCGGGCCACCCTGGCGGGAGAACGCTCGTCTGCCGCGTCTGCGACGGCTGCTGCGGCTGCTGCGAAGGCTGCGACTGCGGCGGCTGCTGCGGCTGCTGCAACTGCAGG